TCTACTTCAATTAGTATTATAACACATATTGCGGCACCGGTAGCTTTTTTTTAATTCTAGCTGATATTTGCAAATAAGAACAAAGCCATCATTAAAAAAGTCCTAAACCCTAAACCTGTTTTAAAAATTCAAAAATTTAATTTTCACAACAAAATTTGTAAGCTCGATCAAAGGAAAATGCTAAAAAATACCTTTTTGTAAACATTTGAAAACCTTTCATTGAGCTTCCAATTGATATCTGAAAAAAAGAAAGGAAAAAGATAAAATAAATCTATGACCCTGGACTGAGATTACTTGCATCCAGTGACGGCAAAAAACGAACTTCTGTTTATAATGAAAATCAGTACACTGAATAGAATAGTAGAGTATAGAATTTAATGCGAATTGATAGCCTGCCTGCCTATCTTATCTCTACTTAGCCTGGTAAGTTTAAGATCTGAATTTTATTTTGAACAGACTTTTTAGCTCTTTAAATCTTCATATCTTTATAGTGAATCAGATATCATAAGTCCGGATATCAAGATTTTGTCTCACCACCCTATTTGACAGTTTTTGCCAAAACATATAACAAAAAACCTAGAAATCAATTAAGACCATCAAATAGCTTTGCTGAATCAGAGAACAGGAAGCATTGAAATTTTATGATGGAAATCGGAGATTAATGTTCGATGTAATTTGATTTGATCTCTGTGAAGTCATTATCTCTGTGGCTAGAGGGCCTTTCTCTTAGATTAGCTTTGCTACCGAGGGATTTGTTCGGGAGACAAAACTATCAGTCCTTTGTTTCGAAACAATACCGTCTTAAACCAATCAGTGTTGCGGGGTCATAGCACATGCGCATTAATAACAGTATTCGCAAAGCTGTTCTGTTTGCGACCACACAATTTTTGAACTTCCTGCCAGGGCTTCAAGTGGTAATGCGCATGTGCAATGACCCCAAAACGGGTGCTAGTGCATGCCTGGAAAACGGGCACGATTCATCTCCCGAACAAGGATTAACGTTGTTTCCATAGGCGCAGACTTGGGCATGAGGGTGTAGAAAGGGTGACGGCAGAAGGTAGAAAAGGCGACGATTGAAGGTTTTAAGATGATTTTGTTTGTACGTTTTTCTTAATCGTTATTATTTGATCTTGATTTAATCTCTCGAGATTATTTTGTTTATATTTGTCCAACAAAATGATAGCCAACTTTCCTATTTCCCAGAAGGCTGAGCCCTAAAAAATTTTATCAGGAGGAGCTCAAGCCCCGGAGCCCCCTTAAGTCTGCGTCTATGGTTCATGCTTCAACCCATTCTCCATATATAATTGCGATAATTATTGTTGTTTTGTTTGTTATTTCCATTTGTTGTATTAAATTCAGAATTTCGTGGAAATACGTGTTGTGGAAATTAAAATATAAAGAGACTTGGGCCAGGGATTAACTTAAGGGCTTTTGGACGAGCACGGCTAAGCTAGATATGAAGACAAGTTCGTAATTTTGTTTAGAACCATACATTTGAGACAGGGGATTTTGCATAACCATCTAGCAAACTGCTTTGCCGAAATTTTGAAATTAAGATCATGAAAATTTAGATCACTGATCATTTGAAGCCTTGGGAACATTCCAGAAACGGAAGTAATGTTTCAGGAAGCGTGAAAAATGCACGGTTAGCAAAATTGTGACCAAAGTTTTGACCAAAATTTTTCAAATCTAATGATTTCATCGGAAAGAACTTGCGAAACTGAGCAAAAAGTACGAAATCATCAATGTGATCTGACATGTAAGCAAGAAGTTATGGCCGTTGAAATGTTTTGTTAAAAAACTTCCTTATTTAAAGTTTAATGTTGTACAGTCGCATAGCTGTGGCATTGTGCATTGCATTATAAAAGCATGAAGTTTGGTACAAGTAAACAGTTTGAAATGCTGAATAAGACGAAATGCATACCAGGCTTCGAAAGATACTTTGGACTGGGGGTACTTGTCGTTTGTTACGTGTAACACTATTACGTATTAAATTTGCAAGTTATACAACTAAAACTTTGCTTCGTGGTGTAATTAAACGCGCTGAATAGAGTAAGATGCAGCTCCAACAAAAAGCTATCTTTAGACTTAGGTACTTGTACCCAGGCTTTTGTTGGGTATCGCAGTATAACTTTGTAACTATGCAAGTTATACAACTAAAACTTTGTTTTCTGGCGTAGTCTGACGTGACTAATTAGATAGAGTATAACGGAACAAAAAATCCTGTAAAATATTTCTTTTGATGGGACGTGATGTTGCATACATTTTAAGACCTTCTCGATTGTTTTTGCCAGTTGAGCTGTGAATCGCTTGCCGTGTCTTTTTAGGCAAGCTTTAATGAAAAATAATTATAATGTATGAAGATTCAGAATAAGAACATGGCAGTCTTAACATTCCATGCAGCTCGAATTCTAAACTTTTATTAACCTTTGCTGTCTTCATATTATGGAGAAAGAAAGAGAACAAAAGCAGATTTATGCATACAGAGGGAGTAGCAGATAGTACATTGCCACATTTTGAGCGTGATAAAATTATTTTTTGCTTCTTTGCAAATCCACAAGTAAATCCTCTCATATATGGCAGAAGAACAGTTTGTATATTTGAGATCTGTCTTCCTATGTTTTTCCATTGCTTTTTCTAATCGTTTCTGCAACACGGTGGAATATACCAGCGATTATAACAAAATAATTAGTGTTCAAGATGCATGAAAGTCGAGGCTGACTGAAATCAGGCACGGCACGCCATTCAGGCCAACAAGCACATATTTTGGTGGCACGTTAAATTAATTCCTGCCTGAGACTGAACAAAACTATTCCTGCCTCAAGCAGAAAATATGTCGTGTACTCGTATCGATATGCAGATCTGGCAGGCTGGAAGGTCTATGCGAACAATGATTATCCGTATCACTAGTCAAAGTTCGATAAAATTAACCTTTGCATCACTTAACCAGCAAAAACTATACAAAATAAAAGCAAGAAAAAACATCTCTTCAGAAAATCTTTGCCAAAAAGTTCTGCGTACTATTTGTGAAGAAAATATTCATTACCAGCAATACTTTACAGTCTGTTCGGCCTATAGTCGCGCGGTTTATTTATTGAATATCAATATGAAAATCTGGTAAACAACCTTGAAATTATGTGAAAATCAATAAGGAAGAGTTGCTGTATGTTAGATTAAATCAATCTTCTAGTTTAAATTGTTTCTTTGATGTTTTTCAGGTTTGAAAATTCAACACGTCAAGTAAATATTTGATACCAGGGGTACCATTTGCATGACAGCGTAAATAGCCAAGTAAGCGAGAACTTAAATGATAAATTGGAAAACATTTTCAACAAACCTTTATAATGCTTTCAGCCAGTTTTAATGTGTTATTTATCAAACAGTCTTTTAAATTCGTCCGTTATTCCATAGTAAAGTCACATCAACCTCCAACACCACATGCAGCGAACAAACAGTCTCCTCTTGCATCCCATACGCAAAATAGGGATTCCCTAGAGTAAGCTCCTGCTCAGCATCAAAAGTTTGCTTCGAATTTTGGGGCGCATTGATTGACTAAGGATAACAGAATGTCTCATTTCTGCTGCATTTCTGCTGCACTCAAGGGAACTACGCTACTGAAATTTCTGTCAAAATATCCCGGGACACATCTGTTTAAAATATTCACCAGCATGAACAGATTTTACTAAAGAGCAATTATTTCACACGAGGCCCGTAGAAACATTTCTTTAGGAACTTGCAAATATGTCTACTACAAAAGAAAGTTTTCTGACTTGAAACTTCTTAATCAGTGTGAAGCGAGCTGAAGTTGCTTGTCCAATTCTGTATGAATCTGTAAATATGATTTCTCCTGCCCTTTTTTTGCAATGATTTCCAAATTGGTTACGAAACCATTTTATTTTCTCGTCATTATCAGCCTTCATTTCCAACGTTGTAGGTCGGCTTCTTAAATTTAACTTCTCAATCGGATTTTCATTGAAAGCTGAAGGCCCCAATACTAAGATGAAATTTGGTACAGAAGGGCAGAATCCTTTCGAATATCCAAACTGAGGGGACTGCTCTTCACGGAGAAGTGTCCTTTACAAGAAAACGAAGCTAGAATTTCATTAAAAGCTAAAGGCCGCAATACTAAAATGAAATTTGGTACAGAAGGGCAGAATCCTTTCGAATATCCAAACTGAGGGGACTGCTCATCACGGAGAAGTGTTCTTTACAAGAAAACGAAGCTAGAATTTCATTAAAAGCTAAAGGCCCCAATACTAAGATGAAATTTGGTACAGAAGGGCAGAATCCTTTCGAATATCCAAACTGAGGGGACTGCTCTTCACGGAGAAGTGTCCTTTACAAGAAAACGAAGCTAGAATTTCATTAAAAGCTAAAGGCCGCAATACTAAAATGAAATTTGGTACAGAAGGGCAGAATCCTTTCGAATATCCAAACTGAGGGGACTGCTCATCACGGAGAAGTGTTCTTTACAAGAAAACGAAGCTAGAATTTCATTAAAAGCTAAAGGCCCCAATACTAAGATGAAATTTGGTACAGAAGGGCAGAATCCTTTCGAATATCCAAACTGAGGGGACTGCTCTTCACGGAGAAGTGTCCTTTACAAGAAAACGAAGCTAGAATTTCATTAAAAGCTAAAGGCCGCAATACTAAGATGAAATTTGGTACAGAAGGGCAGAATCCTTTCGAATATCTAAACTGAGGGGACTGCTCTTCACGGAGAAGTGTCCTTTACAAGAAATCGAAGCTAGAATTTCATTAAAAGCTAAAGGCCCCAAGCAATCTTCTCTTCAGAGAGCAATACTAATTTGAAATTTGGTACAGAAGGACAGTTAGATACACTGAAAAAGGCAGATCAGCTTAGGTCCACATCCTATCATTCTCAGTGTATCGAAGCTCTGTTACGTGAATCAAAATTGTGCTACAACTGGACTCGCGCATGCACGATTCTTCCAAAATAACTGCTGTCATGCTAGCTTCTGGCAGAAAATACACTCCAATAGAAGGGGTCTGAAAATCATTGTTATCGACATTTTCAAACATGACTTTACAATATACTAACAGCATTTATTGAAGAAATGGAAGTTATATAAAGATGCTAGCTCATTCGTATGAACACAATAATACAGAGGTGCTATGTAGATTATTTAAGATATCATCACGCGATATTAATTATTGCACAATCTTTGGAGGCCATCGTCAGGTATAAGGCGATAATTAAGAAATGAAATGTTTAGCTACTTACAAAGAACAATTCAATCATGACGCAATGAAACAAATATCACAAATTCAGTTGACTGTGGCACTCCTAGCTATGGCTTCGCAACACAGCTGCGTGAAAACATAAAAGGCCTAACAATGTAGTGGGCATTAGAGACTCTTATGACAGCCAAATTAAAACGTATTCTGTAATGAAAGACAAGGATAGGGTTTGGAAAGATACAAAAAAATATCAGAGAACTTTAGCAGTGGTTTTCTTGAAACACAGAACTCCTGCATTTCTAAGTAAACTGGAAAATATTCTGGCGAGTAAATTTCAAAGAGTGCGAGGTTGGCTTGGCTTAAACGGGAAACAATGATATGCCAGCAGCAAAATGACAAGAATTTACTATTTCTATGTAACAGTAGTCAATGTTACACGGCAGTATACAGAAGCAAGCAAAATTTTTCTTCGATAGCATCTTAACGCCCAAATTTTTTTCGCAACAGCAAATAAAAATATAATGTCAAGGTGCAAATTATACTTAGGAAAAAAACAAGACATTACTTTGCAAAGATAACTAAGACATCTTTCCAAATAAGAGATATGATTAAGGAACTAACAGTTCTTTTCTTCATAAGACTCCGTTTCGTAATGATTCATCGTGAAGTTCCCCACCAAACGCTCTTTTGTATAAGAGAGAGGTAATACGTAGGATAGACATTAAAAGAAGCTCGAAAAGAGCTTAAGGAGAGCTTAAGGAGAACTGAAGGGGACCTTAAGGAGAGGTTGGGAGAAAAGCACAAACGATGAGCTTGGGAGAGGGGCATGAACAAGTCAAGAAAAGGCCAAACCGAGCCCAAAATTTTTATAGGCCAATGTAACATGCAATGGAAGGAAAAACCTTCATCATATACAGTAAGTATCTAGCAAACAATACTCGTACTTTGACAAGGAAACGACCCAGCATAAACGGCAGCAAAGTTAGAGATACTGTTGCCAGTCAACTGACATATAATTTCTGTTGGATTCCATCTGACGCACAATTTCTTGTGGGATCATATGCGTTAGCCACAATTTCTGAAGATTGTTATACCTGCATGAAGATAAGTACAGCGGATTGCCACGTCTAGGAAAAAACAATCAACGGTCAAAAGTATACTTCAAAATGCTTGGATCAAAAGGGAGAAAACGTCCTGACAACGAAAAACGAATCAAAGGTTTTTCTATACAGCATTTTTCAGAGAAAGACGTTAAATAAAACACTTGCAAGATAATGCTTTCAGCACAACGATTAACTAATCGCTTAAGCTTCACTGCTGCTGAAAATATTGAATTCCAAACGACCTTGAAAGCTGACTGCATCTTATATTGATTTCTATGTTTCTTTTCCAACAATAAAATTTCGCTTGTTACTTAGTATTTATCTCTTCCTCATACCTAATCTTTATTAAATCTCATTGCATCGTCAAGCTTCTGGAAGATACATAATGCATAAGGATTTGAATCTATATGATGTACAATTAGATTAAGAATACTAAATCTAATTCCTCTAACATCCTTTCTGCATCACAGTCTTTTTGGCACATTTTGGAAAAAACCTCTTCTAAGGCTTTTTGACAATAGTGTACTAAAGCTTTCAAGTATTGCACTTACCTAAACTTTACGTCTGGTTCGCCGTATTCATCAAGATATGGGGAGGCAATCAAACAACCCTTTGTTCTGTTATATAGAAGAAGTATTTGGCAATCTCTGATGAGAAGGAAGACACCCAGAGTTTCGTTGCATTTCTCGGCATGAGCAGTGCAGGATCCAATATGCTTTTCGTCGACCAAAGCTTGGCAGCAATAACTCTGAGCGCATAGCATTTCTCCACAGACAAGGCAAAGCGTAGGATTCTGACTAATGTCGCCAGTCATTGGGCATCTAAAGTGACATGAGGCAGATTAAATTCTCAGATTTTCAAACGACCATGTTTAACATCGTAATTTTAAAAACATGCATCGTTCCCACTGCGAGTTTCAGCTAAACACACTCCGATAAACAATCATTTAATATCGCTTAAGATTGTAGCATGAATCTACTGAAGGTTCCTGCACTAGTCACAAAGTATATCACTGGACATAGTATTTTCTGCATACTCTCTATAGATGCAAAATCAAGTCTTCTCCGGACCTTAGAAAAAAGATTCTTAATTCATTGAGATTTTGTAAAACTGCGATAACTTTAATATTATGCAAAAATAAAGAAGAAATAATGATTTTGATGGACAACAAAAGGCAACAAAATTTTATTCCGTGAAATGAATCGTATAAGCCACAGAAATCATACCTGAAACCCGAAGCAGCTGTTATCAAGGAACTGTAGTCTTTCGGGAGAGGAATAAGTCGAGATGGGGTTGAAGAAAAGGTAGCCCTGAAATTAAAAAATTAGTGAACAATTATAGCTTTTAATGATTTAAATACTATTCACATCTTTGCTTGTTAGAAAATATACGTTAGAAATGTCCTAAATATTCTGTCTATACGAACACAGACAACGAGATTTTGAACTTTGGTTTTATACATTATCGTTTTTACCGCGTACCAGTACCGAATTTAGTGGCTCTTATCGCTGAAAAAACCATAAAGTCAATGGCCTCTGCAAATACCGTAACTTGCAGTGGGGTTTGAAAAAAAAGCTGGTTCAAGAAGAATCAAACCATGGTTGGTCATTTATGCTAGAGGATTCATTTTCATAATTTTCATCACCAACACTGTAGAGTGTGCGCAAATGAATAATAGCTGATTCTGTCTAAAACAGTAGCCTAGAAATGCTAACATGGATGTTAAGTTTTCTACGTGTTAACTTTATCAGATGTTAAGTTTAGTTTTCTACGGCACTATAGTATATATCAATGATACAAAAAAATCATAAATTGTTTATTGAGTTTTCTTTTGGTCTCGATAAAATATTCCACCATCTAGATCTTGGATGGATGACGGACAATAAAAAAGTTTCAACTGGTAACTAGACAACAGAACAAACAGGACTGTTAGCTGGAAACGAATTTGTTAGAATCAAATACATTGTAGGCATTCATGAATCCATATGAGGTGCATATTGCAGAAACAATTATCTAATCATAAAATTTCGCTAAAGAGCAATATTTCGCAATAGTTAATATTGTAACTCACATGTTTGTGGCTGTTTTCGGGTTCGAAAAATATCCCCTAACGGAGTCATGGCTACACCATCTGAAATAAAAGTACGATAAATGGTGATACTCATTTCCATGTGAACCGTCTAGCATTCTAAAGATGACAACTCTACATTTTAAGATACAGTAAAATTACAATAAGCGCTGCTTATACATCAGCTTTACCTGGAAGAAGTGACGAACATATGTTTTGCATTTCTCTCATAAATGATACACATAAAATATTTTAGACTCTGAAGCCATCTAACAGCTTATGTGACCATATTTTATCCAAATTTATCCTAAGATTTGTTCTTCTTGAAACTTCTCAAAGGTTTGTTAGACAAGAAAATATAAAAAGAATTTTAAAAACCCTATTTAAAAAGAAAATAAAATTGTTTCTTCTACAAATCTTTAACTTTCGTGCTAACAGCAACAAAAGTAGCAAAACCAACAGCAGGAACAACAACAGAAGCAACAGAAAAAACAACAGTATCAAACCTTTCAACGACCGATGCAAAGGCTAATGAAGACTTCTGTTCACTATTACCAAGAGGCATCACGCTGACGATATCTGTTGGAAGTGAGAGGTAACCGCAGATTGCACGGACTTCTCTTGTGAGCCTGTGGTGGTCGCTTTCGTCTAAAATGCAAGTGTAAGGGTTTTTATAAAACATAAAATACTAATTCATATCAACATATATTTGTCATTTGATCTTCATTGGTTTTGGCTGAATTATAACCCCAGGCAAAGGAGGTACTCAATAGAAATGTCCTAATCATACGCAAAGTTCATCAAATTTATCTTAACAAGATTTGATAATCCAAGTAACCATTATGTTGATGTTGGGACGAAACAGAGCTAGAAAATGTAGACACAAAGTGGGATTTAAACGCTAAAAGTATTGCGAATGAGGTCTCAAATCGCCTTACTTTTTGCCAAATCCCTTACAAACGTTCGCATCGAGGAAAATCACAAATCATGGTTATGACATTTCATGAAAAGATAAGCGTAGCCAATCTGGTTCTTTAAAATTGAAAACCAATGCAATCAAAAAAGAAACAATTCAACGACTAGAGCGCGCCGTTACACGTGTAATGACGTGAAATGCAGTAAAATGGCTTAACAGCCTCTTACCGTGTTGTGCCAGAACAACCGGAGGGGCAACACCCGTTAGAAAATGAAAGAACAAAGCCGAAGATCGGATGAATGGTAGGCATTGCTGAATAACGTAGCAAAAGAGCTTCTCTGGCTCCTCATGTGGCCTGTCTGTGGTTGAAATACTGAAACAAACAAGTGATATAGTCAAGAAGACAAACAACATATATTTGTTATTAAAATAAAAGGCTGAGCCCACAGTTTCATTTCTTAAATAATCTATCCATTCACCCAATCCTCAAAAATTACCTAACGATAATATTTTTATGTTCTTTTAAGACACTGCTGGAACGATATCTTTTTTGAAAACAGAATTGCCATTGAGCCCAGAATTTTGTGAATCATCAAATACATCTAAAAAGAAGCTGGAACTTACTTGCTAAATTGGCGCATTTTCCCCCAAAGTGCCGCAAATTCCTCTTTGACTGTTTCGCTAGCAAGATGGGTTAACTCTTCATCTGCAAAAGTAATGTTGAGAAAATGAAAAAAGTTACATGCTTTTACAAAAATCCTAGTAAATTTTAAACAGATACACTATTCTCCAAATTGCTATTCCGTATTAATTCCGTTACTCATTCCTCTTTTCGTAATGTCTTCCTATCATTATGAATGAATTTAGGTCTTAGGACTTCCTTAGGTATGATATAGCAGAATTTTCCCTATCAAACAGCAATAGCTCAGAACAGAAGACGGGGGTTGCTAAGCTGACCAATCAGCCTCCTAAGCCGAGCATGCAAAGCCTAAATGCCGGATATTAACTTGATAATAGATTTTGGTAAAATCTGTTACATTGCTTCTATCAAATGATCAATTGCGAGCAACATCAAGATGTGTTTTGATAAAATTGCATGGAAAGCTGCCCATGATAACAACAATATAAATGAATCCTCTATATGCTTTCAACACGAACTACACTAATCAGCAGACTCGGAATATGCAGTTCAAGTAGCTTTAACAACTGCCTTAGAATAGAGTACAAAATATAGTGTCATCAAGAATCAGGGAAAATGTGTACTGAATAGAATCATAGTATGGTAGTATGAGTTTAGAATTAATGATTTGAATCTTTGGGAACGCACTGTAAGCATCGATTTCTGCGGGCGCACTGAGCAGGAGCTGAGTAAGAACTGCCAGAAGCGAGATATTCAGCAGGAATTGATCAGCTGTCCCGTTTGAGACGAGATCTGCTATTGCCAAATTGCTACCAGTCAGATCAAGGCTTGGTAATGAAAATCGTAGAATCAGCTGCGCAAAAGAAAAGATGAAATCATTTTCTTACAACACTATACCGACAGATAGGAAGAGAATGCAAGTGGAGAAATGGCAAACCTTAAAAGATTGAAGGTTAGCTTAAGGTTAGGAGTGATACTGCTGTGTGAAATAAATGAGAAAACATACGTTTTTTTCAAAAGATAACTTTAGAAAAAGGACTGTATAATTGCCATTTGTGGAAAGAGTTTTCCAATACCCTTTTTATGCTTAATTATCCTTTTTGCTAAAATACATTTCTTACGAAACAAGGTGGTCATTAATCGCTATCTACATACAGTTAATCATTAAGATAAAACATTCTAATGATTTAATACCAGGATTTACCACAGATACGAAGTATACTTAACTAACATCACTCCAAATTCATCAATATTCTATAAAATCATCACTCCAAATCTATGATTCTGTGAATACCCTCTTCACAATCATAATTACAAAATTCTTGATTATGATAATCAGTTATGTGGAATCTCGTTCAAGCTTACCATAGCAGAAAAAATATCAAGGTCCAAGATGCACGGCTGATTGAGCTCTGATATGTTGCAAGGGATGAGAGCTGAATGCAAGGAAAAGGAAAAATCTTAACGTAAGTATGAAGGATGCAAATTGAATGATTAGGATTTACAATCTGCATTTAATTCTATATTGGAAATCATATGCAATGTGCTGTGCGTAGAAAATGATGGCAAAGGAATCCAGGACAGGCAGTGAGGCTGTTAGCACCTAAAAAAGGTCCAATAGTGCAAACTGATACCGGCATGAAACTTGGGACAGATGGGAATTTTGATACATTGGAAAAGATAGAATGTGGACCCAAGCTGATAAATGCCTTCTTGTGCAATTTTTAGATTGGGATATTAGACACCAGGCCATCAATCAAGTTATTCTTATACTTTATCTTTTAATTGTAATGCTAGCTTGGAATTTGGTAGAGAAGGGCAGTTTGATACGCTGAAAAAGATAGAATGTGGACCCCAGCTGAAAAGTTGTAAAATGGTTAATGATTCGCATTACTGCTTAAAGAAGCAGCCAGCTATCAAATTCTTATTGAAATTAATAAATGTCGAGTGTCAAAAAATCACATAAAGATTCTGAGAAAAATTAATTGTATAAGCATTTTTGGCAAACATCAATGCTTAAGAAACAATCTGTTTTCACTTAGGAAAAAGCTTCTTATGGATTATATGCACTGCAATGATCAATTTTTTAAAGTCGAATTAAACAAAAAAGGTATAAAATGACAAACATGTAATCAGTATAAGGCAGAAAGTTTACCTGCGAGTAACCTGAGACATTCGGTCTGCATATGAGCGGCGTTTGTGACAGAACTGCTCATAGCAGAGTAACGAACGAGCGAACTCATACAATCAGTCTATTAAAATCAATGGATATCAATTAATTTAATATTGTAGCAACGTTTAGTGCTAAGTATTGAAAAAGGTATTCGATAAGCATAGGTAGGCTTTAGATCAAAACAAAATTCCAGGTTACGTTAATAGGACTATTAAACCTTCAGAGACAAACTTTACTATTTTCAAAAGGGACATTTGGCGGATGCCTGGGTTGTGCACCCTGACCGCAAGCTCTACTGATTATCATGAGCGAATTGAAAAAATGTTTTCAAATAACAAATGGAAATAGATGGAGCAAAATTTAAGGCCAGAAATAACGAAAACGTCGAGGGCCTTAATTTTAAGTTTACAAGCTACTTCATTTTGGAGACGAGGCTCTTATACCATATAAAACAGGACAATTATAAAAAAATATGTAGTAAACTGTGAAAATGTTTAACCAACCTTTCTACTCGTTAGATCAAAAAGACTTTTATTTTCATCCCGCAAAATGCATTCTATTTAGAAAATTCAAAGAAAAATATTAACAAAGCTTAAATAAAGATTTGAAAAATTATTGAGCTAACTTCTTTACGATTTAAGTAAAGAAATCTGACTTGATTCACTAGAATAGCCAGAACATTTCTATAAACAGAATGCACAAATATTTTCCTATCTAAAAGATTGATTGCCAATTTTTGGGTATCAAAGCCAATATCCAATAGGACTCAAACTAACAATTTTCAATGCACCCTCTAGTTCGATGTTCTTGTTATTTTTTTCCTGGATTGAAGTTAAGAAGTACCAAGATGCCGACATTTGTCTCAAAAATTTTCCAATTACAATGTCTCACAAAATCTTAGGCTATCTCTGTATATCTAGAAAATATCTATCCTAGTTCTGTTTTGCTTGGACCAAATTTGTCTCACGTAGCAGCAACTTGTTTGGGTAAATATATGTTTACCCGGCACTTTGACTGATGCGGTCATCTCGAAGCTACTTTTCGATATCTCGATATTCGATACTTCGATGTTAACTATATACAATTTCTCACCCATTGCCTGTATTGTATATGAACAAGTGTTCCAAGCCATTAGCAGCTTTGATGATGGGGAGCTGGGGGACGAATCTTTACGACCGATCTGAAAAAAAAACAGCAATGACAGGCGAGTAAAGATATGGTACGACCGTGAAGAACGTAAAGAAGTATAAAGATCAAAACATGAAAAGAATATAAAAAGGCCTGTTCTTATATCTGATTGGAATATATATTCATGTTGAAATTAGACTTTCCAATCTCTATCTAAAAGGCCATATGAAAGTATTTAGTTGATTCTCATCAGAATTGCGCCAAGAATCGGGTGGGCGGCAGTTTTACATTTAATATTTCATATATGTCCTAAAGCTGTTTAGCTGGCCCTCAACAGCTATTTTGTCCTCCGGTTTTCCTTCGTAGCTTTAAAAAAGGAACGTCAATTGGTATTCGAAAGATCATAATATCATTAAGAACTGCAAGAAGAGGGATGCTGTGGAGGAGGCTTGGAGGGCTCAGCCCCTACTTGTTGCAACTGTTAGGGAAAATTCAAAGAAAATTTTTAGGGAAGGGGGGCAGCCCTCCCTTAACATGCGAAAACATGTCTGGTAGGGCAAATTCTGGCAACGCTTTATTATGCCAAAAAATTTGCGTGAATGAGTGATTTCGTATCCGACTTTTGAGATGGTGAATAGTTTGAACGATTTCCCGTATCGTATATATTGGTCCCGCCTGGATTTATTTTTATATTTTATATAGCTAGAGGGACGTACCTTCTCGACAGCAGTTGCAAATCTTTGGATCATATCTTGTGCGCTGTTGGACAATTCATAACTACAAAGCAATGATCAATTCATTCAACGACCTGGCAATTTTCATAATTCAATGACAGGAAACATGATAAACATTCTCATACTATAATCATTCATCTAAAAAGTGTATTATATTCATTTTACTCTCAGTTTATCGAATCTAGCATATCTGAGCAGGATCTTCTAGATTACACATGACAATACGTTATCGTTTATCGTTTATCGGTAAAACGTTTATCGTTCAAAATTGTACGAAGGAAATGATTCTTCAAGTAAAACGGCAAGCAAAAAGGTGGCATCTGATGCTCCATACTTAAGATTTTGTAATAGAAAATACAAAACAGTGTTTGATACGATAAATAAATAAAAATATTTGCATAAACAAACCCCGCCAAAACAAAGTTTTGAAAGAACTCTTTCAAAGAGGACAAAGACGACGGAAGACGGGTAGCAGTTGGCGACGAACCTGTTCAAAGAGAAAAAATCCCTTAAAAGGTGACCACAAAAACATTCGAGACATGCAAGGTCACAATCAATGTAAAATAGGTATAAAATTTGTCCATTTATATTTGCCAATTATGAACATAATTGCATTTTTCCGAAACATGTGCACCGATGATAAAAAAGTTATTTGAGAGAAAGCTTTGTCATTAATTGAAAACTGGATCGATTTGGGTAAAAAAGCAACAACAATCGAAAATGGCTTAGAGAAACGTAGAAAGGAGGAGTTCATTTTCACCCTTGGACTCCATCGTTAAATTTTCTATTTAGGCAAGCGGCACTGACTTGGTATCCTTACCACTCATGTGCTCTTAATTTCTGATATGCCTTTTTCGATTTACAAACGGATATATGCATTCTCTAACCTATTGTTTCCGATCATTATTCTGAAGTTTATTCTGGAGCTTGAAAATTTAAAAATTAAAATTCTAAAAACGTTTTAAAGACATTTGAAATTATGAAATCTTCTATGACCAAAAACCATTAAAAAGTATAAAATCCTGGTTTATTTTCGATACCTTTTCTAAACAAGGTGCCTGCTTCACTGTTCATCTTTTTGGTCAACTCAAGCAACAATCTCTCTGAATCTACCAAATCTTCATCGGTATCCATTTGTTGACTAGAAGTATGAAGTTATTAAAAAACAAATGTTGATATTTTTACATGCAAATACATCCATTCAAACAACTTAATATATGATTGATGTTTGCAGAATATCTAGTTTATGAGTTGGGGAACTGGTCACAATAAAGCAGTTTGGGAACTGCTCTATGAGGACTACAATGCCTGCCAAAAGTACTTGGAACACCCAGAAATTTACGTTGAATTTGATATATTTCATTCCTTTCATGAAAAAAAATTGCTACTTCTGCCCCCTTCCCCCTAAAACAATGTTGATGATTTAGAGAAATATCATAAAAGAAGCGCAAAAGAAAGTGCTTCCTAAAATCCTAACCCGTTTGATAGTAAACCAACATTGTTCTGTGGGGGAGAGGGGGATGATTTATTTTAACCTTGGAAATTGATGTCAGTGTTCCAAAACTTTTGGCAGGCATTGTAGTTCTAAGGACACGATGATTAGACAACACATGGGTACGTACCTTGTGCTCTCTTTGAACTCAATTGCTGGAAGCAGCGGGACAACGCTGTTGCAAAATGACGAGCACAAGGGACACAGGTATTCACTTTTTGCAACATCAATATGAGGATGGAAATGCATTCGGAGTAGGTGCCTTCCCTCTTTGTCTCGTACTGAATCAAAGTACTTTTGCCAGCATTCGTAATGCATGACATGTCCACACGTGTTCATAAAAACACCTGTAAACATGTCACGTGGCGGGTAAACAGGGTTGTAATACGCAGCATCGATCAGGCTTTTACCCTTCGCTTTTGACAGTACTTTAGATCGTTGTAGGAAGGCAGTCATAACAATTGTGCGACCATCTGCTGTCACATCTTGCTTCTCCTGGCATAAAATACAGATCACATTTTCCAGTCTCTGCTTGGGGAATGCTCGACCGGACCCTACAGCAACAGATTCAATTTCGACGGTCACCAAATCACCATCACTCATGTCTTCTTCGTCACTGCAATAGATTTAAATTGATAATCAACAAAAACAGATGAATTCAGATCAAGGAATGATTATCTGTTTGGATCTAATGTTTGTATAACCTTATTGTATGAAACTGATTTTACTAGACAAATTGATTTATAAAAAAGGAACGGACAACATCAACAAAAAGTTAATCTAATTGGTTAACTGCAAAGCAAAACGAATATTAAGAAAAACAACTCACTTTGTACCATCGTCAATGTCAAGGAAATCTTCGTATTTTTTAATGAAAGACTTTTGCATCTGTGACATCTGTGCCATTACCTTTTCTCTTTTTTCCCTTGCCAGTCTTGCCCGTCTCTCCGAGTCGGCTTTCGCCTCGCTGTCTACCTCACCCTGCTTCCGTTTCACTGCTTGATTTGACTCATCCATGTCATTCTTTTTATACGACAATTCATCATACAGAAACTACATAACATAAAATTTTGCACACAGTTAAACAATAAGTATAGATTTAAAGCTTATCAATTGGTAATTCTTTATTTTTCTTTGTATTTTTTGCATGTAACCAATTTGATGAAGTTGTGTAGATAAATCATCTAAAAGTTAACGAACAATGAGAAGAACAGAACAGAACCGTCGCCTGACGATTGCATTAACATGAAACTCAGAGCATCATTTAGAACCGTCCTGTTCTATACACGAGGGTACAGCTCTGCTCATGTGACATCGAGCACTTTATGGCAGACCGGCATAAAGAAATTTTCATCTAAAAGTCATGTAAATACATAAGATGGACCAAACAAGAAATTTTCAAGTTAAAAAGTTTCAAAACAAATGCAGATATGATTGACTTAATCAACTGATAAATATTTGTCTCTCGCATATCCCCAATAAAAGTGTCCTGTCGAACACCTTTTCCCACAGCAATGCGTAGCCAAGTTGCAGTCATGTCAAGCGTCACTAGACGAAAGGATTTGTCACAACCAACCATAGACTTTTAAAAAACACCCTCTCTTCATGGACAAGAGTCCCCTTCTTGAAAGAAACGGTTCAGGTAAGTTGGTTGGGTAAAGGGAAATTGCACCATTGGAAAAGGAAAATATATGAATGGACATCCACGGCATCCATTGCTTTTATTACAGCAGCCGTCCTTACATCATACTTTGACAAACCGCGATAATCCACATTAAAGTTGCTCTTTTTGTTGTTCAATTACTTTATAAGTTCGAAAAAGCGTTTTTTCAATTCAGTTAAGTAAACTAAATATGCAAACATACTGATAAAACCCAGTCAACAAGTTCCCCGTATTCCTGACTTTTGGACTTTTTCTGGATATCCTCCAAAAGATTCTGAATGGTCAACTGTTTGCCTAAGCAAAACACAATAGCAAAATTAGATTGGCTGTCAAAAACTTGTTTTTATGAAATAGAGAGATGCTTCAAACATAGAAAGGCTCATTAAGCGTAATTAAATGAGCGCTTTGCTGCTGAAAAATACTAGCTTGTGTGTCGTAAAATATAATGAGACAATTTAACTTGAATTTAAGGTAAAATTTTTCGAGGAAAGTAAGAGTGAATTTTAAAAACGACGTTTCGAGCATAGCCTGTTAGTACTTCTTCAAAACAGAGGTGCACGTACTGGACAAAAACGCTTTCCTGCAAAAACAGATATGGTCTTACAGTTAACAAAACACTCTCCTATACTGGACAAAACGCTTTCTTGCAAAAACAGATGTGGTCTTACAGTTAACAAAACACTCTCCTATACTGGACAAAACGCTTTCCTGCAAAAACAGATGTGGTCTAACTATTGAAAAGAACACTCTTTTACAAAAAAGACGTGCTAGTAATTTTGACAAAACACTCTTACAAAAACAGACGTGAACTTACTGTTGACAATCCCCAGTACACTTGTGGCCAAATCAACGAAACTGCGAGATTGCGCGAGACCTGCCTCTCTTTTTCGCTTGTCTTCGTATAATCCAAGGGCAACAATATAAAGTGCCTTAAAAAAAATGACGTGCAAAATCAACACAAGGATTACAGCATTCGCTTCAATATTTCATCACATCTCATAAAGAAAACTCAGAGCAGAAAGACACTCTTATCTTTCCACGTTGATTTGATGGTTTCAAACATGGGCGGACTCTTAGTCAAATATTGGGGAGGGGGGCAAGCCTATTGTTTTAATGAGATGACGTCACATTTCCCATTGCTTTAGAACAAAAGACCACTGTTCTCTAAAGTATTTGGGGCGGTCGCCCCCCTCGCCCCCAGGTGTCCGCCAGTGGTTTCAAATCAATTTTTTCTTTGTATTTGCATAAAAACAATATGTTAAAAGAGCATGGAACTTAGCTATAATTGAATCTGAGTTCAATCAAAACCTGAAGGATTAATAAAAAGCTAGTTTGCTCTTTCCCTGGATCAAGTGACAAACACACAATGATGTCACTGAGCGATCAGATTACAATAGAGTAGATCGGATGAAAAAACGATCGAACGAAAAAACGATGGGATGAAACACGATCGGATGAAAAAACGATCGAACGAAAAAACGATGGGATGAAACACGATCGGATGAAAAAACGATCGAACGAAAAAATGATGGGATGAAACACGATCGGATGAAAAAACGATCGAACGAAAAAATGATTAAAAGTAATAGAATCAAAGAATGAATTTATTGGTAAAACTAAATATAAATAAAACAAATACCTCTTCAATCAGAGTATCAGGAGTTATTTTCGAATCACCATTCGAAGCTCTGAATAAAATTATTGCCAGAATTTTTGCCATTTTGGAACAGCTCAAAATATTCAATATCGGCGTGTAGGGAGGTGTGAAGTTGGCAGGCATCGGCACTTTAACTCCTGAAGATAATCAATAGTTTTAGAAATTTTGTTACCAGAGATAAAATAAACTGCAAGGTTTGTCTCAAGTTGAATGCACCATCACTATTAACAAGAAGCAGAAAAACGGATAAACATTCCTTCTTAGGCAATATCTCCAGCATTTTCGGCAAACTGATTGAAATTTTTGCAACTTAATCAGTCCATTATTGCTTTAAACTTTTCACTTCACTGCATTATAAATAAATAGCATATCACAGAGGGAGAAAACTGACTCAAAAAATCTGAAAAAAGATTTTAAAATATTTTCACGTCCAACATACCAGTTGACGAACTTGCTTTTTTCGATTCTTTTCTTCGGTTTTCCAGAACCTTGATAGAAAAGATGAATCAATGCTGATTCAAGTCAAATTAAAGATTGTTATGAAGAAAAAATCGTGAACGGCCAAATCAATATAATCATTGCAAAGATTCAAAACAATTGCAATTGACTCCATTGGTTCAGATAGAATTAGTTGCACACACATTGACTGGACAAAAGACGATAGACGATGTTTTTGATTAAAAAACAACATAAGTATTAATAGTCTTGTCTTGGTCAGTGAATTGTTAGCTATGAAAATTACAAGAAGGGCCTTCCAAAAATTTCTCAAAAACTATAGCAAGAAATAGAAAAGGATACGTTTTGGAAACTTGCAAAAGGGGCTAAGAGCCCGACCAGCTTTACACCCATCTATATGGTGGCTTAACACTCATGGTCCAACATAGATGAAATTAGTCTATATAGTCAAACAACGATGAAATTAGTCAGACCCGAGAAACCTTTCGCTTTGCTTTTAGTTCTTATAATCCTACCTGAATCGCAAAATATAATCTTACCTTGGTTAAAAATCTAAACTACTCGAATTACAACGTTGGATACGCAAGAATCATAAGACCAATTTATACTGACCAATGATTGAGTATACAAATGTGCAAAGAAATCCTAGCTTGATACATATAATAAATAGAAATTAAAGTAGCACTACTTTAGACGGCATCCAGTTGAATTTGCAACCAATATTACCTTTGATTGCTCTGACCTTGAGTAATGATAGAAGTATTGGCTGCACTCTTCAAAGCAGCTTTGTTTCAGTTGATATAACCCTTTTGCGGTAAGACCGGGTTGCCTGGAAAATAAACCGTTTCAACCTTGTAGAATAAAAAATATTTTAAAGGAAAATCAGTTGTTATTCTTTAAATGTGGTAACTGTAAAGCGATTTAACATTGAAGGCAAATAATACTGAAAAATCCTTAATTTTTCTGCAACATTTCAAAACTTTTATCGAAGGAATCTCCCCATGTTTTAAAAGATCGGTATTAAGGCCTGAGCCGTTCGTATTTCCAGCACAAATAAAGCGCTTCTTTTAGAAAAACAAAACGAAAGTTTCCTCTTCACGAAAACCTTCAAAGGCATCTCGATTGGAACATTTCGTGTGATCTGGAGGCGGGTAGTATATGTTTACTGAAAATGATTGCAAGAAGTAAAAGCCAAGATCGAAATGGCAACAATGTTCTGAAGCTCTTTTCACAGAAAAAAACGACGAATTGAAATAATATTTTCATAAAGTGAGTTGGCAGAGATGAGGTTGAAGTCAACAGATAAGAAAAGTTGGGCCAAGTCTTAGATTGTTCGTAGTTTTTCCAACTAGGAAAATTAGGCTTCAATTTCAAACATGTGCATAACTAGAACGTGAGCCGGTCTTATTTCTGATATCTTCATATACCTGAAATCAGCAACAGACTTCAAGACGTCATCGAGAAGAGACTCAAATGTGCAATCTTCGTCCTATAAGAAAAATTCATACAGTCGTGTTTAACTGAAAAATTCTCTTCGGCCACAGCAAATGTTTGTTACTGTTTCATCTTTTACTTTATACAATTTTATGTGAAAGTGTTCCAAAAATATCGTGGGCTTGTCTCTCGACAACGAACTATGAGCCAACCAACTACTTGGTCTTGTGTTCGATAAAAATATCAAGATGCACCCGTGGCTTTTTCCAATTTCAAAAACAAATCTATCACGCGATGCTGTAATATTATTTGTTTCCTGTAAGATGAAATAAACATTTATAGAACTATAGCTCCACAGAATACAGTTGCATCACAAATTCAGCATAGAAGGCCTGTTCCATGAGTTCTTGCAAAAAGCAATAATAAAAGCGTGCAATCACTTGGTAGATTCTGCACATAATGCCGTAGTGAATATCACATTAAAATATACAAGGCACTATCCTGACATTTTTATGTCCAAAATATATCAAAGTTGATTGAAAGATGAAGCATATGGTGCTGGTGGTGAAAAAGTTGCATAAGGTTCTGAATTTGAAGGAAACAAGGCTATCGGCTCCAACTTACATCACCAGGATCTTTGGAAGGTAGGTTCTTTACAATTTCACTTCTTGATGCAGGCCCTAGTGCCAGTCTATGCACCACCTCTTTTCTCAGAATATCTTTAGCATTGACTTCACCAATGCCAAGCACATGCCTCTCTCCTTCAAAAAACAGCAAGAGTATGTCATTCAAAGTGAATCTATAAAATCTCAGCAATTGACCCTTTTCTCAGATCCCAATCGCAACAAACAGGTAAGATTATTCACTTTTTATCCATGAAGAAATTAATGTTTTTGCCCACTTAACTATTACAAAATGTTCGATTTACAAGAAAATGTTTAAAATAGCCTTTATCTATGTGATCGCAACTTGCACAACAGCTTCGCTAGTTGCTAGAACGCATCATTGAATATTGACTATACGGCACATGGTAGGCCAAGATTCCTCGAACTTAGTCGTCTATCTTCGCAACAGTTAATCCGGAACTGACTTCAAAACAGCCAAAAATTACAATAACATAAATTTTAGAAGATTTCAATAGAATTAAGTATTAACATCACAAGCATATTTCTTAAAGTCACTAGAAAAATCGTATGAGAAAGGCTGTTTTTATCCGTGAACCGATAAAATTAGTAGAATTACGAAAAGTTCGATTGTAGAGAATTGCAGAGGGTTTGTTAGGAGATTTTCAAGGAACTTAAACATTTTGTTCGAATCAGTTAAAGTTCGAATAAAACGGGATGAAATGAGACAGAGCCGACTGCACCCTATTTCATTCTACCCTCAAAAACCAACAAAATTTGACAATATGCCCTTAAATGGGTGTTCCCTACCCTCGGTCAAGACCAAGGGCATTTTGTTTCGTGGGCACCATTTGGGTAACGGTTGCATGGGTAAATGTTAAAATCTTCCGCCATTTTACAGGGGCTCTCACTTAAGAAAATAGAGTGGAGCTATCAATGTTAATGCAAAAATGTCTTTCGGCTTACCCAACACCGCCATGACTGTAAACAAAAATTCCTCAGAAATAACCACAGTTCTTCTTTGAGCATCCTAAATGATAAAATATAGTGCTTTAAGGACTTGAGAAGAGCCAGCCTAGTCCAATACACAAATTCTACATACGTGGCTGCCTGTGAATGAAGATATTTTCGAAGGTTGTCTTTCTATAATGACACCTCAACACGATATATGGCTGTATTATAATACATAGACATAAACAGTGATATCAGCCGAGAATGCGCAGTGCAAAATGCACAGTAATATTTCTATATTAGGTTGTGAGGTAGATGAAAGTGGGAACAAGGATTCTGCCAATATGTGTAGCTTAAGCGATTATGTACATTCATAATAGCAAAAAAATCACAAATAGAAGCCACAATTTGCAAATAAAATAGATTGAATAGATGTAGCATTTTATAAGGAAGATGAATTGATAGAAGCCGGCCGCAGTACTACTCAAAAAACTCGGTAGACAAAATGGAAAATTTGGGACTTGCCTCGTCCAAATCCGATTCTTTAAAGCCCAAACTGAAATTGAAACAAAATTATCTAGTTAAATGAAAGGCACGAATCTCTTCCATAACAGGCCTATCCTATGTTTAAGTGTGGCTCCGGGTCGAGGCTCCTTAACGACCGTACTAAGGTTTAAATTCGCAACTAAAATTATTTACCGAGACACGACATTATGAATATGACTCATTTCTGGCAAAATAAGACGTTAAAATTAAAAAGGTTTTTCAAAAACGTGAAATATGTTATCTTTTTAGGGTTGTTCTAAGCTCCGAGTATTTGCTGGTTGGGCCTTTGTCCTTCTGTAAGGAGTACATAAGAGTTATGTATCGAAAGCTGACAACAAAAAATTATTTTGTCTATAGGAAAAGATCCCAACGAAAGTATATAATAATGTTCAATTTGGGGATTTTTGATAAAGGGGTTTTGAAACTGCTAAATCCCATTTAGTCGCCCTCCAGGGGGGGGGGGGTTATGTTATAATCTGGCATATCGAATGCATATCGAAGACTTTTCAGGTACGACTTTTGACTTAAATAAGGTAAAAAAATCTAACAATAATTGGATATCGATTTAGTGCGAGTGAGTTATCCGGAGAACAACTTTGAGGATTCAACCGTATGCAGATCCTTTACATGATAAATGGGTGTAAAAACTGACGTGAATTTCTATACTAACCTAAGCCAGTTGAGCAAGCCATACTTGTCCAACAACGCGGTTAAGAAGTAATTACTGTCCATCAAGGCAGCAACAACCTAAAAAAGGGCAGCCATGGATCAGCTTTTATATTCAAGAGTACAGGAATATAATGATAAGCAGTAAAGAATAGGGAGTCATGCAGAAATGTAGCAAAGTGGGACAATCTTACATCGAGTTTCAGACCGAGGGAAATCACAATGATTCCAATCTGCGTATGATCTCGATCACTATTCTTAAGGCTGTTGTTTAGTTTTCCCATTACTTCCCAAGGTGAAAAAAATCTATCTTTAGAATTTTGAATTTGGTTCACAATAGCTGAGAAAACATAAAGAAACATTTCTAAATACACGAGATCAGTTAAATATGATACCCTTTGGCTGAGATGTGGCCACAAAAACAGAGTCTCTTTCTCGATCAAATTACTACAATTTGGTGTTGATTCATAACTTTATGAACCAGGTCAGAAAAACATTGTCCATTAGCAACCTTGAAATATTTCATTATTGGTTATATCTCATCTGATTTTGAACAGACGTGAATGGCTGAGCACTTTAAGAGATTTTTTAATGGTTTTCTTTCATATATGTGCCCAAAATTACATAACTCTTAATACAGATTTTTGATGATGTCACACTTGGTTATTCTTTATGAAAGACGCTATAGAATATAGAATATAAAGCTCTAGAAGTGGAAAACCAAAAACAACGATTTTCTAAAGTAAAACGAGCCACAAGGAATGTTTTTATCTTCAAATTGTCTCTCAAAATGGTTTGATGATGCATTTAAACCGAATCCTTCCTCAACAGTCTGAAATTTTCAGCTCTGGTGAAAACATTGAAATCTATATACAGATACTGACACTGGCGAAGCACTTTTCAAATTGTAATAAGTATAAAAATACACACTTGAAGCATGATAATATCCTTGTCATACATTTCAGAAACACATCTGACGTTTTGGTAGTAGGAAACCTGTTGAAAAGAAATCAAGATTAAAGTTGAAAAGAATCAAGATTAAAGTCAAAATTGCAACAAAGGTTGGGACTACCTTTACTCTCGATCATAAACATTGCCTTTGTAAGTACAGATTATCTGCAGTGTGAACAAATGCTACGAAAATCATGAAATGGGTCCATCAATGTTGATAATGAATAGGCATTCAATGGAGGCTTAATAAAATGCATTACACACTGGCACCTACCAAATGTTGAAACTACTACAGCCGATAAACCAGATCACATTATACCAAACAAAGGGGAAGAAAATTGAATTGAAAAGGAATGAAAAGCAAATCCATACCTGATGTATTACAGCATATCCATTTCTCCGCCACATTCCTGCAGAAACCTGCGCAGCAAAAACCAAGGTGCGGAGCGGGTATTCCATCAAACTTAAAAGAATCTCATCTGACTGTAGATAAAGAAAGTTGTACAAACAAAATCAAAAAATAATGAATGGGAAGAGAGAACGGGGGAATGGGGAAACGGGGGAATGGGGGAACAGGGAAACGAGAGAATAGATACAGGCAATCTGTGGTTTTGTGGCACGCACAATACGGCGCCATGAAATAGAGGAAAAGTCCTGTTGAAGTTTTAAAACGATCCAAATAGTATGATTTACACAATGTTATTTTCTTCGAGTACTCTTATTTAGCTATTGAGTCTCGTGAGAATGCAGCATTGTGGTTAAAAGTTGCCCATACTTCTGAATTTCTTCTGAGTTGTCTCTGTTCTGCCAATTGTTGAGCAAATACTTACAAACTTACATATATACTTACAACCAAGCAATGTTGAAATGACATGTTGCCACTTCTAGGGCAATAGGGACAAATCACAACTGATGATGTACACCTGCAAATATTACTGGTCATACCTCAGCTTTTTTCTTCCCAGAGAAATTAAAAAGCTCATCCAGTGATGCTCCATTCTTTACAGAGCAGGCAAGTACACCTGACGGAAAGAGGAAGAGATGATCTAACAAATTTTCGACGAATCCACATCATTACACAGACACAAAATACAAATGCGAATGCAGTATACTTCAGTATTCTGAATTAAATTTTGCATTGAAATAGTTGATTTTGATAATTGGCACAAATCTGGTTTAAAAAACACATTTTCTATATATTTGTCAAAACTTGCTCAGATGTGATGTGAGGCTATTAACGCGTTAGGTAATCGTTGTATCTTGTTAAATGCAAACATTCAATAAATTTATCCGTTGGTATCATCTGTGGCATGAAAACACTGCACCTTGTTCCCTCTAAGCTGCAATTTCATGATTTTATATCTATTCAATTTATACAAACAGACAACAATCCTTTTCACGAAAAACAGCAAATTAAACTAAAAAGTACAATATGCATTTGGTTGCTTGTGCCAAGTACAAACCTGGAACCCTTTTATGTTTACCAGTCCTACGGCTCTTTAGAGACTGGAAACACGAAGAGAATAAATAAAAATTGGGAGTTTTTTCATCAAACGATACATACCTGCAAGAAATCTGCTGAGGCCTAAGTGAACTGATACCGGCTGAGTTGACACGTCGCAAACAACTAGTTTAAATGCTGGGTCAACCTCTAGGAAAGATTAAAAATTATCAGAATTTCTCAGTTACTGGAAACAGCTTTTGTATATCTAGGCAACTTAAGCAAGGCAAAAATTGTTTGCCTTTGAAGGTTAATCATATAATTAAATCAGTTCTGCTCCAGAAACGAGTTTGAAAAAAGGGGGGATGATGAAATCCACTTTCAACGTTCTATTAGTCTATCCTCTTTATTTCAACACCTTTAACTAAACAAAAAAGGCAAGTCGATTGGCATGTTTTCGGTGATGCATTGGGTACGTGAGTAAGCTAGCATCGGGAAAATTTACACAAGATAGGTTTACAAAAGGAAACCACAAACGATTCAGAACCTAAAATAAATATTGCTGGTTTTCAATGGCATAAACTTTCTCTGAATAACCATAATAATAGAACCAGTACACCTACCAGAATGGTTTTTATCCGCAAACTGCAAAGCTGGCGTTAACTTCAAGAGTATTTCCATACATTTTTCAATAACCTGTCTGAAAACTTCGGTCTGTGGAAGAAAAGTAAAATTAGAAAACTATGTTGTACATTGACAGGGTTTGGAAAATGTTTATCTTTTTTCAATAAAAGCGATGTAAACAAGGGATAGTCTCGGTATGGTGAATAAGGCCACATTCACACAGGGACAATTGTGTACCGTTCCATATCGTTCCGTTCCAAAATTGGAACGTTCAGGGATTGCATTCACGATGGCACATTTTAAATCGTACCGTTCCGTTCTAAAAAATATAAAAACTCTTAAAAGCGATACAAAAAGTGGGACGGTACACAGCCGTCCCGCTCCGTTCCTGTGTGAACGGAGTACTGTCCCAAGAATGGAACTACTGTTAATTTTGCTGGATACAGGCATTGTTCATTTGAAAATACGGATATAGGCATTGGCAAACTCTTTGTTCAAATTCAAACAAAAAAGTGGACCGAAAATAGCGTTACCGTGTGAACAGTTCATTTATTGTCCCAAAATTTGGAACGTTTATGGAAACGGTACCAAATCGCTCGCATGTGAATGGGGCTTAAGATTCTTTTGTCTGCTTGCGCATTTTCTTAAACAGGGCCGAGAAACAATGGCGTTTTGGGTGCTGATAATAGATGAAAGGGGAACGTGGAGCGACAGGCCACAATAGAGGGCAAAATGGATACAATAAAATAACAACTTTGTACAAGAAATGAATTATTAGTACGACATTAGCTTATTATTAGCTTATCCTTATGTTCACTTAGCATATAGAACACTCGCTCCTTGGTATTTTCTGGGACCAAACCTCAACGTTTATGCAAGGAACAATGTCGTGAATTTCAATAATTTGTGGTCAGTTTAAGTTTCCAAGCTAGCAACCGGCAATCACGTTGAAAAGACGGATATGAAAAGAAATACCATTTAAAAATACATAAGACCAACTACTTACGTCAGAAGTTGTCCAAGCAATCATAGCCTCGATCACGGGCATCATCCAAAGTTGCATAAGAAACCCCGTCTCCCAATTTGGTTCATATTCGATGTGAGTTACAAGTTTTCGAGTCACTTGCTCCATTCCCTGTATATAACAAGATAAAATAAAATGATTGGCCAGCAAAGCATTTAGTATTCCTTGCCTGTGTTCTCGACTCGATCAGTGTCCATGCGGGGAAAAACAACCGGTTTTACTCTAAAGCAAAATTTCTTAAGCTTGGTTCAAATGCCTATACTTCTACCCTATGAATTCTTGTGCGTTAAGTGGGGTTGTCAAAAGATTACAGCTTAAATACAATGATATGATCAAATTTAACGAAATAGATTGGCTAAAATGGTCGGAAGAAGTCAAGATGATAAAATTCCGCAGTTGACTGACTTCAGCCGACCTTCACGACAAACAAAAATCAGTATATGCCTATCAAATTAATTGGAGCACACGCATTGAAAGTTGCTAGCACCCGGATTCAACCCGAACCGGATTCATCCCAATCCGGATTCAATGCAAGTTCGATTTAAACGACACGACAGCTTAAACCTGACCAGGATTTTCTTAACACGGGTTCACTTTAAGCTTGGCCGATTTACAGGTCAAAAAATAAACTTTGGGTCGATGGTTGATCTCAGGTTGAAAACTGCCACGTAAAGAAGGATTCTTGTGACACCTGATGGATAGTAAGGCTGGGGTTGCAATTTCTAAGTAGAGTACTCAAGGTGTGACAAGTAAAATAACAATTATTCAAAGTTGGTTTGATGAGAAACCGATGCCAACCTTTTTTGCAGAGGTACAATATTTTTAGATTGCATCCTTCTGGTTTTAGTTTTTTATCTTTAAGAGATCTGGAATATACATTAGTTACTTAAAACATTATTTAAGTTTGTAATAGGCTTCGCAATCGCTATGGCAATTGCGAGAGAAGTGAATTAACGAGAAAAAGCCGGAAGACTTTGCCTAACTCACCTGCATTCCTCTGAGTATCTTTGCAAACAAATCGAATGCACTTAAAAACACTGTACGAAATTCTTGCGTCCATTTTTCAGGCTTGTGATGAAGAAGATACCTAAATAAAATATTACCTTATAGAACTGATTCAGATATACGCAAAAATCAAGTAAAAGATCGCAAATTTAAACGCGATTGATCTCAGTTTGTTAGAACAGATTCGACTGACGCTCTCAATAGGTTATCTGAGGGGCGTCGCGGCTTTAGTTTCCTACAGGGAACAGACCAAATTAAAATTCTGTACAAGACGGCTTACTGAGGTTGCATAAAAGGCAGTTTTTGTTTTGTCATTTTGCGTAAGCAAGGCTCAAAAGTGTTTGTCTCTCTGACAAAATCAAAATTCATTCCCAAACGTTTTCTAAATAAAAATCTACAAAAACTGCGAGAAATATGACAAAACAAACATTAAAAAGAGATACATTGACCAAGCAGTTACATACCCAAGATCATGCAGAATGTAGTACTCTCTCTTGAGCGATACAGAGCGTCCCCTCTTTCCAACTTGGAAATCGATGTAACCTCCATCTGTGTAGAAACAAAAACAAATTGAGACAACACGCTTTCAGGCCAATGAACGGAATGATATATGGTGATCTGTCATCCTTTTTGCTTGTTCGAGTGTAGGAATACCGTATTTCCTTTAATGAACGCCGCCCTTTGATAAACGCCGCACTCTACTGAACGCCGCATTTTCAGCCAAGCATATGTAATAAACGCCGCAGCGTTCTTTTGATGAAAAACGGCACGTTAGAATGTAATTTTAAAAAAACATCATAGCGTGATCACATTATCACTAAGAACAACAAGATAAGCAAAGATATAACTGGCTTGTTACCTGTTATGGCTTCATCTAATTGCTCAAGGAATGTACTAAAGACCACTTGCAAAAGGTTGTAGTCCAACATTAACGACTGGGCCTGAGAAAGAGTGCGATTTTTATAACATAGGTCTTCCATGGCTGTCAGAAAGTATATTCTGTCAAATTGAATATGATTTATTCACTGGTCAACATACGAGACATGGTCACAAATAACGAGCCAAAAGCTGCTAGAACCAAAAACAAGCAAATTTGCATGTTATGTAATAAGACTTTGGAATCTAATTTGATGAGTGCTGCTCAATTCACCAGTGAATATAGCTGCAAAAACCTTTTTGCTTCCAACCACTGTGTCCCGCAGAATTCAGTTGGTCACCTAATTTCAATTGGTTAGATTATACAATGGGCTATTGTTATGTTTTCCAATCAGAAACAACAAAATTCTGATTGTAAACACTCTGCATCGAACCAGAGCCTACAGGGAACGGTTTACTGCCAGGAGTAAGTGTCTTTAAAGCTACTAAAGAAATGAAAACCAGCTGTAAAATAGGTAGTATTATTCATTGCAAAGCAGAGTGAAGAATTGATGATGAGTTCACAAATAAAAAACCTACCAAAGAAGGCACAGTGAATATCTGTACGGACATTGATGATGCCTATGACAATGAAAAAATTAAATAAGATAAACGATACTAAAAAAATGGTTCTGCTACTACTACCATCATCGATAAGAACTATCAACTTCCCCCCCCCCTGAGTTGTTATTTCTATTCTCAAGTCTCTTAAATTCACGTTTTTGATAGCTGCTTTATCGGCGTGTAAAACACCATATTTCCTTTTATACTTATAATCGTTTTATTTAGCACACCTTAAAACTTCGTTCTAATTTGATCATTCTCCTGTTTTTTTTTCGCTTTCAACCTTCTCTAGTTTTTGTTTTCATATCTCCCAACCCTAAACTTCTCACTGGTTATTTGAATCCGCTCTCGTACAATCTCATCCCATTAGGTTTCAAAACAAAATTCAAAGAACGTGGTAATCTTTACCGATATCCCATGATCATGATCATCCTCTATGAAGTCATTCATTATCAAGTTGTAGACCTGCAAATTAAAAGAGATGAATAAAAAACAAATTTCCAAATCAAAATAACGAGCAACATTTGAATCTTCTCCAAAACAAAATTATAACCTTTATAAATAGCAAAATAGTGATTGTTCTTTAGAATTCATGTTTTTCTCACTGGTCACGACTGAGCAAAAACACGGCTAATGCGTAAATAGAAAAAACTGTAATATAAAGTTTGGACTCTTGTTCTCATTTCTTGATCGTTAAGAGATTTCATTCCCAACTCCTTTCATTTGTGAGGGTGTTTAAGCGAGAAGCACTCATCTCACAAGAGGTTTGACCTTAATTTTCCAATAATAATAGCACGAAATCCCGCTGGACTTCAAAAAGCTATGAACTTTTAAGGGGCCTAGGAAGGCAATATATGGTACAAATAATTGGGTTCTCAATTATTTTTGTTGAACACTATACACTAAATAATCCGACATTCCTTTCTAAAATTTGAGAAAGTGTATATCCCTAAATTTTCTTCAGGACAAGGGGCGTCTTCAAGGGAAGAAGAGGTGTACATTTGTGTTCGTTATACAGAAGAGAAAGCATTCGCTAGTGTGGCATACATTTGAACCTAATTCAACTGTAGTAAGCTCAATTTGTGCGATGATGTGTAGAGGCATACCTTCGCAAACGAAACAGCAAATTTTTTCTTCCCATATGCATCCACTAAAACACTATATATATGAAGATACAAAATTTAGTAGATCAAACGCTAGCTTTGTTCTCAATCAGTCAGGCAGTGTCCCTGTTTATTTTTGTAAAGGGCATCATCTGACCAGTTGATTCAAAATCAGGCCATTCAAAAAATCAAAATCGAATGCAAGCTGCAAAATATTATTAAATGCACAGAAAGCAACGAATCTAATAAATCCATTAACAACCAAACTTAATCTAACACGATTTAAAATTCTTACAAAATTTCAAATTTTAGATGTCATCCTCACAATTCAATCAAGTTTAACTATACCTTCATAACTCTACACAGATTTAATATCTAGTCTAAAAATCCCCAAATCTTTGTATAGAGTCCGCCTAACCGTTCAAGTCACTGGGTGTATCATCAGATTGTGGTGATGCTCTCACAATAATCAAATAAAATACAAACGACTGGTTTTATACCTGTTCATGAAAAGCTGATGACAACCACTTCTTGCCACTATAAAAAAGATAGGTTTAGGATATACAGTTGCAATGGGAAAAGAAAAGTTAATTCTTTACAGTCAACAACAAGTCACTCAGCAACTAAGAGATGTTCCTGCAACCTAAAGGAATAAAAAAATCAATAACATTTGGGCTGGTCTGTTGTTAAAAAGTTTAACTTTCCGAAAACTTAGGTGCAAAAAGAAAGGCACTGCACAAAATGTTTTCGAAAAATGAATATGCCATTTCAACTATTAACGTGTATTCAATGCACTGAAATATAATATTGTTTTTCCACAGTCATAACAGTTAAGAATTAACTCATAGACAATTATGCGCTCTTTTTGTGAACAGGTATGTTAAACTCAACATAATAAAGTGACTAAATATCTACATCATAAAATGCACTCAATCTAGGTCAAGATTTTTTGCGCACATCTACTTAGAGACTTAAAATTGCTAAAAGGTTGTATTGATCTGTTTAGTTAGACAATTTTTTCCGGTTACTTATGTGTCTTGAAAAGTTTTGGAAAATGACCTTGTACTTTAAAACAAGAAAAGCTGTCTTGCACACCAAGAAGCTTTTGACAGAAAAGCAAGAAAATAAATATCAGTTTGTGTGTTTACTAGCCAAAATGTCAGGCAGTTATATATCTTTCTTACTTTTTTAGGAAACCTCGAAATATGTCTAACGATGAAACTAGCTAACTTTTATTCTTTCATTTTAATTGTGAGGATTTGATGCTAAAAGCTCTTTACTATTTCGAACAGTTTATCTACCGTGCAACTCATTTCAGAACTTTTTAAAAGAAATTTGAAATAAGTAGCTGCAAAATTATACAGAATATTCAAAAGTAATTTAGAAACTCATGGGGACTGATAAATATTACAACTAAAGTATTCATTTAGATTTAATATACTTAATTTGGAGATCAGATTGTTTTGTTACCTTTCCAAAGTGAAGTATCTGCTACTAGTATTACATCCAACAAAGGCTCCACTCTTGGAGGAATAACGTTCAATGTCAGCTCACACAATATCCTTCTTAAGCCATCTGAAAAGGTAATGCCATGATGTCAGTCAGTATAAATGCTTGCTAATTCATAGTCATATTGGGTCTTATACATATAATTCAGTCATATAATTCAGTGATGTTAAAGGTAATGTGTCCAGATATAGCAAGCGACTCTGCGGTGGTTTTTAGAAACATGTGATTTTTAATGTCATCGCCCCAGTCATTACGGTCGTTCTGTTTATTTATCCTGCTGCGAGGTCAGCTTTTCATGTGAGCAGTTTTGCATTGCAAGAATACTAACCAATCGCGAACTGTTATTTTGATGGGTGGCTTGACAAGTTGAGTATATGCAGTCCTTTTATATGGACACATTACCTTTAAGGTTGAAGACAAGAGTTGTATTCTATCTTCATTTAGCAACCTTCCTAGAATCTGTTCGCATTATTTGGCTTTCAATTCTAATTCATTCGAGTGGCTTCAGATTTAAAGTAAAAATTTATCATTTTTTAAGATGTACACTCTTCTACATATATAGAAAAGATAGGGCAACAAAAACAAACATGATATAAAGTGCTTATAACGCAGAAGGAAATGGACAAGGAATACGATGACCCTGTGCACAGCAATCAGCTTTCAAAATTCTAATGTCATAGAATTCCAAATTCAGTATCAACTGTGTTTACTGCATCTGTTGGTGTGTCTGGGTTGTAATTGTACCAATAAATGTTACCTGAATAAGATGTGACTTTGTTCAGTAGTTTGAGCATGTCAATTGCAGCAACTTGTTGGGCAATGATATCTTGGTGTATTGCTTCACAGGCTAAAGGATCTTTGCCATTCCTTGATGTACGTGCCTTTGAAATAAAAAGTATTTTCAACATCTATAACTGAGAACAGGCAATCTATTTTGCAGATATGTCAAAAGAAAATCCTGAAATTTTAGCCTAGTTTTGGTAGCATTGCTAATGTAGCTACAAAAATCGAAATTCATAAAATCACGTATCAAAGTTGAAACCATTGAAATCATTTGATCATGCTGATTCGTAAATGATCCTTTCTAGTGAGCCTGTTCCAAATATCCATGTATTAACAATTTCCTTATGACAAAAAGAAATATAAAAAAATGAAAATAAATTTTACAGACAAAAGAAGATTAGCTATATATCAGTGTCTCTACTCTTCCGAAGGAAATTTTAGTAAAAAAACGGCAGAGAACATTAACAGAAACAAGAAAACATAAAGAATTTGAAGTCTTTATAATTTTCATAAGAATTCAATGTAGAAATCTTCTTTGCCCACATAATCATCTCTAAAAAAAGACAATATATCTAACTTAGCAAGAAAACAGATTGCTTATACAAACCTTTACATCCTCACAAACTTTTACACAAGCGTCTTTGGTTCCACTATATATCATTGATCTTCCCTGTTGAAATAGAAATGAGGCAAGCTAAAAGATATAACTCTATGCTGTATGTGAATCATCTTCATAGGAAATTAGGATAGCAAAGTAAGAACAAGAACAATTTACACTTTTATACATTTGCCATTCAAGCATTAACCATTAGTTTTCCTGGAATTTCCCAGCAATGATGGCTTTTCTGAAGATTGTTTAGATAATTCAGCTTGATTCAGATAATTTTTTTTTTATACAACGGAAAAGAGTTTGTCAAGATGTCTTAAAAAACCTGTTACAAGAATTTTCGAAAGTTGATTGTACATAACTTAATTGAACACCACAAAATATTTCAAAATATGCAAAATCATGAAGTCATGAACAAAGACCAAAAATCCTGTGCACATGTTGTTTACTTTGCAAATTCAGGGACATTTAATGATGCACTTTTTAACTATATTAAATGACATGTATCTCAACCAAAGTAAAGCTGATTGGATAACTGGAATGAAAAAGACCAAATCTCAGGAAAAACAAGCCTAACAAAATTACATACAAGATGAACAAGGCCAAGAAAAGTTAGCAACTCAAGAAAAGTTGCTAACTCTGAATCCAAGATTTTCGCAATTTGAGCTGGATACAGAACTGTATTACTCAATTTTGTCAAGAGGAAAATTCAGTGAATAATACTACCACCAAAAAAGGTGAAACCTATTGCTAATGAAGGGCATTGAGTTATGATAAAAGGAGGGGGCATACCAAAATATGCTGAGTCATGATTTTAGTGTTGCAAAGCTATTGGTAAACAGGGGTTGATTTTAGTATCGCATGAAGTTGTCTCGTACTGATTTACAAAACAGTTTCTGTCAATAGCAAGTTGTCAACAACAAATTCCAATGTGAAAATTACCCTCTGTAGAAGAAGCACATACTAAAAAACCATTTTAAAGTGTAGCATTTAATGAGCAAGCAAGGTTCAGGCTAAACTTTGATGCAGTTTGCCTCAAACTCAATTGCATTTTTTAAAAGACTGTGAAGACAGGCAGAATGTTATTGATGGGTGTTGAAGATTTGAGTAAAGCTTTTTAAAAGTGGCAAATCCACCAGTGTTACCTCTTTATCTACAATTGTAGCATATCGAATAGCTTCTGATTTGTCACATCCAATTGCTTGCTGCAATGTCCGGATAACCTATAATGGGGATATTTGAATACATAGTTCCATAAACAAAACTACAAAATTAAACTAATGTTTTCAAAATTGAGCAGTCATAAAAGGAACTCTTCCACACAGATTTTAGTAATCTAACCAGGCCATTTCACAGGAAAAAATCAACATAGGCAGTAGGAAAAGTTGATGCAAAGCTCAAGAAGATTACTGGCTTGATATTGCTTCCTACAGAAATCCCATAAAAGTGATTAGGAGACATCTAGTCTAGATCATTTCATGATTTCCTAGCTTTTGCATATCTAAATGGGTAATTCATATAATTTTGCAAACAAAGGAAGAAGTTGGATAGATGAGTAGAAGGTACTTCAATAAGTGGGTTCAGCGTTCTACCCAAAAGAGGACTGCATCAGATAAAATATATTTTCAAATCAGTTGGTGACTAAATAGATGTAAAAATATCTAATGTGCACAAATAATATCTATTAGTGTAAAGGAGGAAAATTATTTTTTAACTATCACCTTTTATTGTGTTTCCATAAACTTACCTGATCATAAGTGTGTACTTCATCATTATAAAGCATGCACATGTAGGTAGCATTATTTCTAGGTCTATGATGAAAAATACTATACTATAAAAAGGCTGTTACAGAGATTTGCCAATTTACTTGCTGATACACATACAGAGATCTGCTACAGTAATCTTCCAAGAAAATGCAAAAAAGTTCTTTGGTGCTTTGGTACTTTTGATTATATGAAGTTCTGCCTCTCAGTAAAAATTCCTAGAAATAAATTTCTTAACCCTATCCAGACTAGGCTTTTTGAAACTTTCGGGAGACTAGGTAATTTCTTTGTCCCTCTAGCTAGGACAATGAACTTTGTTTGGATGGTACTCTTATCTATTCTCCACATTTTAGTTCAATTGTTTCATTTTTAAGTCACGTGGTCTAACGATGACGTCATCATAATGGCGGCCGGGTGGAGCAAAAATTTAGAAAATATTAGAAAATCTTAAAAAATTCATAAATTCCAAAGCATCGGTTTAAGATTTTTAAATAAGCAAATTTAATGCATTTTCTAACAGAAACAAGAAGAATGACACAATTTTAATGTTATTTCTCAAAATTATTAATGTTCCAACACAAGCACTCAACATATTTTGTATTTGGCTATAGCTTTTTCTATATAACTAAATCATCGATACAACCAAATGTCATGTTTAAGTTCATTTTTGATGCCTTAGCAGACAAATTAATCTTAACTGCCATGGCTCATACCATCAACTTAAGTTTTATTAAATTAACACCTATTAATATGTCAACAAATGTGTGCGCATGCGCAGCTGAAAACCAGTTTTAATACCAGTTTTTACTGTCACATTCCAAACCAATATTCTATCCTAAACATTTGAAGTTATTTATCTGCATATGACAAACCTCCTAAGCTCTTCTGGCAAATTCTCATACTGGCCATCATCATTCCATAAAATCATATCAACACAATATTGTAGCAATTCTTGGTACATAAATGTTGCTCTCTCTATAACACCACTTGGTAACAGTCTTTTGGGATCCTTTGCGAGGCGAAAAAAGGTTCAAATTTTAAAAACCATATATAACATAGTTTTAGCATAACAAAACTTTTACATGCTGTCAAAAACATTCCCTGAAGATTTTACTTGTAACATTGTACACATTTGAAAACCTTAACTATCTTTTGAACAGCCACCCCGAGTGCAGGTATGCAGTCCTGGTATTAGGCATGCAATCGCATGCGCACACCTCCATACATGCCAACTTGCAAGGGGTTCTTCCTATTGCACTCACAATGCCATGTTTTGCATAACTATTCTTTTTCCCCTCTGGTTCTTTCATTTTTTGTTTATTTTCTCTGAAGTAATTTTTAACTTCTTGTGTGTGTTACTCTGATGACACTTTTTTTTTGGGGGGGGGGGGGGGGGGTGGGGGGAGGGGGAGGGGGGGGGTTGGGGGGGATTATAACTCTTTAAGGCCCAGTTTCCATTAAACTGTTTTCATATATGTTTCCGTTTCATCATTCAATTTTGCTATTTTCTTCAACATATAACCCTCGGCCACTCCATTTTGGTCAAAACAATAACCTGGGTGTTTCCATCACTCCATTTCTTACGGAAATCAAAATCTAAACAGACTAATGGCAACAGGGCCTAAAAAACTTTTTGTTGAATTATTTTGTTTTCAAGAAAGTGCTTACACTAATACACCAAAGGCAACAGGAAAAATAGCATATATCACAAACACACCTTTTCAGTAACATTAATGCTTCCATGTAAATGTAGTTCACAATAAGGATCTTTCTTCCAAGCTTCCACATCACCACAATCACAGTAACCACCATTACCACTTGATGTATGTATCTAATCATATTTGAAAATGTTATATCAAACTGAAATAGGCAGACCAATGTTCAAATATGGAGGTCAACAACTAAGAAACTACTGACATACTACAAAAGCCTAATGAAGGTTTTGGGACCTATTCAGCTTTGAAGGTTCTAAAGGGTGCTAAAACAAGAGGAGGTTTTAGAGACAGGGCCTTTCAAGATCTGTCTATATTTCAAGATTGTAACCAAAACCTAGACTAGTAGTTGGCAAATTGGTTAGTTGCTGATTAAACTGGCATTTTTGCCTGATGGTTGCTTTCTCATTTCCATATCGACTTGACCAGTGATGCTAGAAAATTGGCTAGTTATACAGGCCTAGCCATTTGTATTTTTGTAGGTAAGCTATGAATTGCTCCCCTCATTTGCTGAGGTGAGCTAAATCAGTAATACAAAGAATGTACTTTAAAGACAATCAACAGATGACTTAAGCCCCTTTAGTATCTGTTTGTTGCCTTTAATAGTCTCCATCGGGAGTATGCTGTTTTACTTCTTTCAATTTGTATTTGCTTCAACCATGACTTAGGCACCCCCTTTAACTGAAGTATTTGAAAGGACAGACTCTTTCAGTTCTATGTAAAGCTGGCACAACATAAAAACAATAACTATCTTGCCAAACAATCTTTTTGTTGTATAGAATTTGAAAATGGCTTTGTAAAACAAATTTTGAAACAAACTTAAGTTATTCGTCTAGCACTCTTCAGATTATAAAATGTCAGAACATAGATGGAAAACTCTACGCTAAAATACCCAGTTTTGGATCAAAATAGTCCATTCAGAAAACGCAAGCACATGACTGTTGAGGTTGTCAAATCAGTGCTGCTTTCCTATTGAATATGTTACCAACGGAGTCCTAAGGTGAAAACGAACTCCTTCTGTCTTCACAAAAGCGGTCTGTCATGTTATATAGCAGATAAATTCACAAACTGCTAGATGGAACGATGATCAGGCTTTGCCAAAAAAGTGAAACATGTTGCCATTATAGTTTTTCACCCAATCTGGGTTTTTCAGTAAATGCCGCTGGATAGTGGAATTCCATGTTTTGGTTGTCGTTTTTGATCTGCAAGACAGAGTACCCTATTCTTTTTGAGGGATGGTTTTGTTTCTACTGCTAGAAGGGACCTGCTGTTTTATTATATCCCCCAATCTACAATTCCTACCAATTTCTTCGACTTTCCTTTCAAAAATATGTCTGTTTTCTTAACATTGAAAGGTTCTAATCGCTACAAATGTACCTTTCGCTTAACTATCCTTTTCCAAATAGATCGAAGTTTGTGCCTATCATAACAAAAAATCCCCCACAAGCAAAAAGTTAATTGCAAAAAATGCAATGACGGGATAAATCACTGTTACAAAAATAAACCAAATAACCCTTGTATGTTTTCAGGGTTCTCTGAATAGGAAAAGGGCAAATGAATGGAAATTTTAGGGAGGTGTTTCTCCCTTCATGTTATGTTTAGGAGAGCAATTCATAGCTCCCCTCAGGTTGGGAGGGGAGCGTGGAGGCGCACAAGCTATCGCTCGCCTCAAACGGCCAGGTCTGATTACAGAGTTCTAAAGTGATTGCATCAAAAAAAGCTATTTAGAAATTTTCCAATTTTGAAATACCTCTAAATGTGCAAATCATAAATTTGCCTGTTCCATCTTTTTTACACCAGATTGAGAGGATTTAAAAATTCTGCCTTGATTAGTGAGAGGTGCTAAAAAGAGCTTTCACAATTATAGCTATAAAATATAAAGCTACAATTGGCTCTATACTCCACAGATTAAACCTATGATTTATAATGGGAACAAAAGAAACAAACACCCAGGAAGCCTTTTCTTGGACCAGAACTACATGAAACTTTCTAGAAAGTTGCAATACATTGAAGATTCGTAAAAAACTAAATGGTGCGATAAACTTTGCTTCATCACTACTGAAAAAGAATTAAGAAAACAAGTTATAATTTACTTACATATAATATGTTCATTCTTATCAGACTAATCAATCTAGACCTACCCTGTATCTGTGATTCACATGGGAACTTTTGTTGAAGCAGTCATGACAAAACACACATGTTGGGTCAGCAGCACAGTCCCTTGAAGATGGCAAAATGGTGAGATTTGGAATGAATAAAATTAAAATATCAAAATGATTTTTTTTATTATTTCAAGAGAAAAACCATAATAGGTGCCACACTTTTCAAAGCATATCCATACAAGTAGGGGTCATAATTCAAATGTACTGAATATATGTCTCAATTGCCATTGCAAAGTTAGACAAGGGCAGGTTTGTTTACTTCATAACCTAACGCTACTGCCTCCATCTGAAGCCATGTCCAAATGATGCAACATCAGGTGCAAAAATTGTAACAAACAAAATGTTGCCTCCTTTTGTCAAATATGATGTAGCATGCAACACTTGTTGAGTAATTTTTTCATAATTTGAATAATTTAATCAACTTTAAACGGTGCCAATATTGCAGCACCATGCAGCATGTTGCTGCAATTGTTGGCTAGCTTTGCATGTTTTTTGCATTAGGCATGGGTAATTTGTTTATAATGTCAAGCATTCCAAATGGACTTTCCATCAGATTTCTATCTTCTTCCCTTTAAAAAATTCCAATAATTAATGCTAAGCCCAAAAAAACACATTGAAAATCTAATAAATTTCCAGAGAATTTTGCGAGGAAATATGGTAAGTGGATAAATGCTGCATGTGATGTTGCATTATTTGGCCACCCTTCAAAAAAGGGTGTAACTATATGCAACTTGTTTCACCAAAGTTGCCACATTTAGCCACGGCTTTAGAAATGAGCTTTGGTTTTCAATAATTTGCATAAATGTAAGGACACAATTTATGTAAACTATGTAAACAATAAATTTCAGAAAATAAAGAATTTTTTATTAAAGTCATCAATTTATTCATATTTTTATCTTAAGCAGTTAGTCAACAAGCAATTATTTGATTGAGTAAAGGAAATATTAATTTGTGATGCAGATATTTGTAAGAGATTTTCTCATGTTGATCTACTTGTTGAATACTTTGCCCCAGAACAGGAGATATTCGCATAGATTACTCAACTCCCTTTGGCTACATAACATTGATGATTGATATTAGGTTTATTAAAGAATAAAACGACTTACTTGCAAGAGTATGTAGGATCACCAATGTCAAATACTTTTCCACAAAACTGTGGTGGACTGTTCATTGCTTTTATTTTCTCCCAACCAAAATCAGGATTCTCGCCACAAATATAAAAACCCAACGGCCATTCAACCAATTTCTGCCATCCAGAATCATCCATAAGTACTTTATAGACTCCATTAACTTTCTCAGTCTTCAAAATGCATGGAATAATATTTGCAATATACCTATGAAGTATCTCTCTACTTGATTCGTTGGGAAGTTCTCCATCGTTGCTTACTCTTGCAGTTTCATCTGCCATAGCCTTTGCTGCCCTGGCAGCATTATTACCACTGCCCAAGATAGACTCCGTATTTCCCATTCTCAATAAATGAAAGTTTCCTTCGTAACCATTTCTTCAAAAATTGTTTCAGTACCCTCTGAAGAAGGCTTTCCGTGGTCCCTTGCTAGGCCTACGCTCCAGCTGCGATGGTCCAAATCTTGGGCCTAGAACTTGTCTTGAAAGAGAGAAAACAGGTTTTTCCTGAGTTTGAAATAAATTTTAAATTCACAGGAATTGGTATACTTCTCCTGTTGATTGCGCAAGTTGCAGATCAATGCGATTTCAAAGCATGCATCTACTCGATTGTATAACGATTTGATTGCTCTCGAACCAAACTGACTTTTTCCGCAATATTTTCTTCGTCGCCCGAAATCCTTCGGTTGTGATGTACTCCATGTAACAAGTATCCATTCTTTATATAGAGTACCGAAGTGTGACGCCATCAAAAGTCTATTTTTATAATTTCTTAAATTTGGCCACACAATCTGAAAGAACATCATAAAATACCTCTCAATATGCAAAAAAGTTAGATATGTTCCAAATTGGGCGAGATATGACCGATGAAAGATTTCAAGTTTGCTATTATTCTGGCCTGATTCATAAAGTAGTTATGAACCAAGATCAAATTACAGAGGTTTGATGGGGCAAGAGCCTGTCCTTATGTGGCCATATCTCAGCAAATTCATAATGCCTTTAACTGATTTTGCATATTTACAGGTATTTCATGATGCTCTTTCAGGTTCTGGGATCAAAATTTAGAAATTCTAAAAATAGATTTTTATGACGTCATCACTTCGGTACTCTATAATTTTTTCTGTAGATGCAGTGTTCGGCTTGAAATGGCAAGTTATGATGTATATACTTCTTGTTCATGTTTAAAGTAACTTTTAAGGGAAATTTTATTCAAACTCACTCGACGTACAACACGCTCAACTGCATTTTTTATTTCAAATTCCTCTCTCTTGCCCAATAAGGACTTACAAGGCTGTGAAATAAAAATAATCATGCCATCTTTCTGCTTTAGTTATTCGCTTTATTTTTCTTTTCGGTGTATCTTCTTAGATCTTCAGTTGATGACTTCTCTGCTGTTCTTTAATACTAATTAATCAAACTCTAATAAACTTCATTCATAAACAGATGCAAATTGCCTATCGTGTAAACAATTTAGGGTACTTAGCTTGATAACCGTTTTGGTTCTTCTCAGTGCCTTATACAATGTCCATAAATAACATTAGGGTAGTCATGGGTAATGCCGGACGGCATATATTTTAGTTTCATAGATTAGCTAAATTCTAGTTTTTTTTAATTCATGCAATTATTTTTTGCGTATCTTATGATTAACGCCGTGGGAATCAACAAAACTGAAAAAAATTGAATAGCATGCATGCAGATTTCAGAGCTCAAAATATTTATGTTCTTACATCCTCGCTCATCTTTGAGCATAAAAAATTCGTGTTGGTATACCTTTCTCCTCGCACATTGCAAGACAACTTGAAGTTGACAGTAGAGAGCATACATTTTTTTGGGAATTATTTTTCCTGCATATGTTTCCAAGGAGTAAAAGGTAAGCATTCGATGTTCAACAGTAACTCATCGTGCCTACCTGACAGGTGAAATAAACGCAGACGGTGAAAATCTGATAATGACATAGATGTGTTTCTCCTGGGTTTATTTTATCGTGCAGTGATAACAAATTTGTGCAGTGATAAATCGTAATTGTGCAGTGATAAATCGTAATTGTGCAGTGATAAAGGGGGTGAAAAAGTAAAATTGCAGCAACTACCAGTAGAAACATGAAACTTATGAAAGAGCATTACGCAGACGCAGACGGTGAAAATCTGAAAATGACGTAGATGTGTTCCTCCTGGGTTTATTTTATCGTGCAGTGATAACAAATTTGTGCAGTGATAAATCGTAATTGTGCAGTGATAAAGGGGGTGAAAAAGTAAAATTGCAGCAACTACCAGTAGAAACATGAAACTTATGAAAGAGCATTACGCAGACGCAGACGGTGAAAATCTGAAAATGACGTAGATGTGTTCCTCCTGGGTTTATTTTATCGTGCAGTGATAACAAATTTGTGCAGTGATAAATCGTAATTGTGCAGTGATAAAGGGGGTGAAAAAGTAAAATTGCAGCAACTACCAGTAGAAACATGAAACTTATGAAAGAGCATTACGCAGACGCAGACGGTGAAAATCTGAAAATGACGTAGATGTGTTCCTCCTTGGTTTATTTTATCGTGCAGTGATAACAAATTTGTGCAATGATAAATCGTAATTGTGCAATGATAAACGTAAATTTTGTGCAGTGATAAAGGGGGTGAAAAAGTAAAATTGCAGCAACTACCAGTAGAAACATGAAACTTATGAAAGAGCATTACGATATTAAAATCGAGAACATAACAGTAACAGTGATCATAATCTATTAGATTTCTCTGAAATTTGATCGAATTCGGTATCTAGAAGATATCTAGTTTGTCTTGTTTTTTACCTTCTGCTCAAGGTCTTTGTTGTCGAAAACTTGTTTGAACAAAATTTTTGAAAATGTGCAGCGATAAAAATTACTTAAGATAAACCCTGTGTTCCTCTCATCTTTTCTGACAAAAGTTTAGATTAAGATGGGAATAATCGGACAGCTGAGAGTAATACAGGTCCTGATGACGTAGCAAAGGCACTTCTAGTCTTTCTAAAGTTTGGAAACAGTGAAGGATCAGCAGGTGATTCTCATAGGTCGTCTTGCTATTCTTTTTAAAAAAGATTGAAAATTTATAGACATTTCTCCAATGGCTCAAGTGGTCTATAGCTGTTGTGGCCAATGGCTATTGTTTAGCAACAGCACAGAGGTATTTTTTGTATGAAAAGGATCATGACCCGGATCGCACTAGGCATCCTGCAAAAACTGAAAGAATTACTGCTGGTGTCGACCATACAAGGTTTCGACAAAAATGAAAGAAATACATATTTTTGTTCTGGATGAATTTTTGTGCTCGAAATTGTGCACATACCTGTATACATTAAAAAGCAAAGAGAAAATGAAACCCACTCCGAAAAGATACTAAAAAAAGGAAACTATTCTATACGTACTTTTAATAGGTTGTGTTTTACTTTGTTATCAGTAGTTTTATTTGCCTTGTTAGTGCTATACTTTAATAATGCAACACTTCTTATCAAGATAACGCTGATTCTTGTTTTATCGAAAACATATCATGTTGATAACCATCCAGAGCAAAAGTGAAGTTTCTTTTGTTCTTTTCCTTAAAGCTTATTCAATGTACTTTCTTCAAACAGTATTGAGGTTTCAGCTCTCAACCCAACCTTTAACCCCTTTAGCCAAAAGAAATTCAAGGCCACCCTTTGATCCTGGCACTTTCTCTTTGGTTGCCTCTGACAACTAACGTCTGCATGAACATTTTTGTAATGTTAGAACAAATATCACGCATGTCTGTCCGTCAGCATGATATCTTCTCCGCATTATTCACCTTTTCGCTTTGCCCATCTTTCAATTTATCCGTCTGCCTGCTTCCATAACTTTAAAAAATTTGCAGAGTTAAGTTTCAGAAGCAGCTTTCTTTGATAACCAATTTTCCTTCTAGAAAAGTTTCATTAGCGTTGCAATTGCAGACAAGAAAAATAACATGAAGTGACAAAACAGTTTAGTTTATAAAAGCCTGGCAAATTACAAGCAGTAAATATTACTAGAGAGTAAAAGTACAACACATTGCACATAAAGTGGGATTAATTCTTAAAAAACGATGCAAAAAGCTTAAAGCAATACATTTCGTCTCTATATCCGTGATGTAATTAGTTTCTAAGATAATAGAGTTCATAAAATGTTAATTTTTCAAACGCTAATATTAGTTCAACAATCTTAGTTTTATACTGTTATTGGTCCTTTGACAAAGAACTGGGCCCCTTGAAAAACAGCTCTTGCTAAAGGCAACCCTTTTCAAAAGCATGAAATTTGGTCTATAAAAAGCTCGTTTATTTTTCCTGCTACATATTTCTTCACCCTGAAAACATTTCTCAATCTATCGATGTTAGATCTTGATGAATTGATTACCTTGAAGAGCCAAATCTCATTTTTCATCTAATTAAATCGATTTAAATCATATTCAAATATTAGGTGATACTGATGCCATTGACGAATAATTAGATTAGGATTTTATTGCTAACAATTATGATACCAATAAATCATTACCAAAGCTCATTAATCTTCATTTAATCGAAAATGCTTATCAGAAACATAACTGCGACTGAGATATAAATATAAAAAGCACAAATAGCCACTAAAAAGCACTAGCCAGCTCCCAGCACAAATCTTCAGCTTTGTTGCAGTCTCATTTTCGTGTATCGAACCTCTACCACAGGTTGGCGTGGAAAGATTTTAAAACTTCTGTGCTTGAATCGGTATAAGGCTCTTTTGTATTATGTTTTGATTTTACTATGAGAACCTGCTCCACTACCAACTTCATGCAACATGAAGTCATTTGAGTCATCAGTTGGCTTTCTGCGTATAAAAGTTATCGTAAGAACTATACCAAAATCAATTTGGTAAAGGTATGAAATAGGAGAGGAAAAGGCCATCAAGGGTAACATTGAAAACACAAGTTTTATAAGAATCTACATAGTATGTCATCAAAGCTGTTGAAAATTTGTTCAATCTCTTTCGAATTTCTGTTTCTTTGCACTTCTATTATTCCAAAAGTTTTGTATAGTATGTGTTTCATTGCCTTAAACCCATTTATTGCCTCTGCTTCAGTTCTACATATATGCACATTTGATCTCATAAAAATGTAAATTTCCAACAAAATTGGACTGTTTCTTCGTAAATTCTGACCTATTCTTACAAAAGCTTTTAAATGGCAAATTTGACAACCATTTAATAAAATTTCGTGGCAAACTTTTTTAATGGAGCAGTGAAGACCTTTTTTCAGAATGTAGTTCCGCTCTTTTAAGAAGCATTCTTCTTACTTGCATTTAGTGCGTAGTTTTGTGTCTTAACTGATTCAACCGGTGTTGTTTTCGACTGGTTGCGTATATCGACGTACGGATATAATATATACCTACAGAAAATCCCATTTGCATCAAATGAACATAATAGTTCTAACTTACATTTCAACTTTTCTTTTAGCGTGCTTCTTCATGATAACAACTACTATGAAGATGATTAGAATAACGCCAACAATTGAGGTAGTTAGGGCTATGGCCAATACACTGTGGCTACCTGTTGAAAAAGAACATAACATTTTTAAAACTAAATCATAAAGATTTTTGTCAAAAGGAAGAAAGCGGCCAAAACTTGTAATGCAATTAGAAAATCAAGGGAAGACAGCCAGATTCTTAATTTTCATTAAATGCAATAGAGACCCGATCCGATATACGTTAATTGCACTAAAAGCTCTATAGAATGTCATGATGCGTTCTCAAGGATGCATCTTTAGTAGACTTTTTTGGAAAAAGGGCTTGGGTGTGCCAATATCGACAAAACAACGCTTGAATTTGAACCATTATTTCAGAAATCCAACCCCAATTATTAATGTAAATTTTAAATTAAGACCTTTATGAGAAAACTTGATACTCACTTTCTTTTTCGCAAGTTTTGCCATCCCCTGCATACCCTTCACTACATTTGCATGTATAGGTATACAACACATTGATGCATTTGGCATCTTTATGGCAAATATTGCTTTGCCTGCATTCATCTTTGTCTATAAAAGAGAAAGTGGATGTTCTAAAACAATTTGCTAGAACAAACAATTTTGCTATGCGTGATGTTGAACAAACTTTATCAGCATGTTTAACTAGATGAGCAGCGAGAGAAGATAAAGTAGTAACAAATCAAAATGGAAAAAAACACGACACAAATTTTGAGGTCCTTGATACTTAAGATCTGAGATGGCCCAGGACTATCATTGTTTTGTTAAATATGAATATCTTTAATATGTCAAATTTTGATCATGATGTTGTATAGCTATATCAAGTTAACTAAAAGAATACTAGTTTGATCGCATTAATTTATCCTAATCGGAGAAATTGAACCTATCAGCGGAACATTTTTCTAACGTATCAGAAAGGTAGCCGAAAGGCCTTTAAAAATCTTCCTCTTTGATTTTTCTTCCCTTCGCATTATTTCTCTTAATAACCACCTTATAGCAAAACTGTCAATTTTTCTGTCAATATGAAACCTAGAGTACTATTCTAATCTTTTTCTAATTGTTGTCCGATACTTAATAACTAGCATTATAAAACATACGCGTCATATTTATATGTAAGGCATTTTCATGAGACCTCTCATTTATCTACATATTAGAATTTTATCTTTGTAACCATTTTAAACTAAAAAGGTGATGAATTATTGTCACGGAAATGCAGGTTTGCCAACAGCTTTCTTTACCTTTGACTAAAAGCCCACTGATAGTTGATCCTGCAACTGTACCATTCAGAGCAGATTTGATTGAGGTTGCAATTTGGCTTTCGCTTTCGCTTGGTGTCTTTGTAAAGAACAGCGTAAAATTGACCGTTAAACTGCCAAGTCTGGAGGGGTAAATAAAATTATTGATGAGCAATAATTTAGTTTCTAACATGGTCTTTTGGCAAGAAAACATTTTTAACTACAGAGCATTTTAAAGCATTGATTAGTATTATGGCACAAGATATGCTTCATTTCTATTTATGAAATTCATTTTGTATTTATAATTCTATACACTTTTCTATACACTGAGTCTTGGTTCCAAATCAGCATAGATAAATAACTGAGGAACAATACCCGTCGTTTTAGAAAAAGGGGCAAGACGTGCTCTTATTATACTCCCTCCCTTATTATCATTTCTTTCCAATGACCTTGAATCCGGAGAAAGTCAGAAAAGGAAAAAGTACAAACACAGCAAGAAGAATTATAGTAAATTTTGGCTTATTCTTGCTGTTCTAATACCATGAAATTAGCCAGGCTAATGTAAACGTTTTTTATGGATAGCTGTAGGTACTTCTAGAGATAATACATTTGTTAGGTTTAATTATAAAATAAAAAGTTAAATGCCACAATCTAGGACAGAGAGTGTTGAGAATTAATTCTTCTGCCCCAATCCTTCCTCACTGTTATTGGGTTAAAACCTCTCCCGATATATGCATGTCACCGGTGATGTGTTAAGATATTGCCATAAATAGAAAGTTATATGTGTTTGTCTTAAAATCTCAACAGCTGTGTCCCGGACTGTGCCTCGATCGAACTGCGTGACATACCCCATTGAATCAACAATCACCAACATAACGTCTGATCTGTGGCCTTTTAGTTTTGCATTAAGCTGGAAGGCACAGAGGAAAGTATGAATTGAGCACTAAGTTAACGAATCACTTTAAATATGACAAAAAGAGGCCTGAAAGGGTTGCATGTTTGAGACCCTTTTGCCTAACATGAATATATGCATTGGCATCACAGTTCTGAATAAAAGTTTCAATGCGAAGACTTTGTCAACAAGTTCTGATTTATCTAAGGCAAGCAAACGTGAACAGAAAGATGAATTATATTTATTAACAATCTATTTTGGACAATAAATTAACAGAAAGCATTAGTTATCATAGGCCTATCACATCAACATATCTTGAATATAACAGCAAATTATATTGACAAAAAATTTGCTGAGCAAAAACAGGTAAAAGAATCAGCAAGTCAAGAATTTATATCTGCTGATTATAATTATTTGTGAAACGATAAACAATTACGTACATTTTGTTGAATCACTCTTGAAGTTTCTTTGTAAAGTAACGAGCCTGTGTTCATTATGTTCTGTCTCACCCATACATCACTTGTGTTTATTAACTTTCCGTTAATAACAGGTCGCAGCAGATGGAAATAGCCTTCAATCTGTGGTTTCCCTGTGGAGACAATGCTTTCCTTCAATTGCAATATATTCATTACTATCTACATATATCTGCAGTCTCAATTTCTCACTACATGATGGCCTCTATCATTTTCCTGCTGAATGTTAGGAAAATCATTTTATGCTGCTAAAACTTTCTCATTACAAAAAAATGAGATTTTATAGCTTCTCAGGGCAATCTTTATTAAAAATTGAAATTTCATCTAAAAGTATTTGGAAATTAGCTTCGATACAAAAATTCTTTAGGTGGGAAATATTGTAAATGCAAATGAAAAAGCATTATTTCAGTTCAGTTGTCATTTTAAAAGCATTTTTCCAACAAATAGGAAATCAGAATAGCAAAGACGACACATGAAACATGTTAGACGTTGCTGAAAGGACATACCTTTGGGTGATTGAGTTGGGTTTGAAACCATAATTGTGGTAGGGGTAGCAGTTGGCACTAAAACAAAAATCTCTACTACATTAAACTGGTAGTTATAAACACGTTTATCTATGTTGAAGTGTAAACAGGAAACCGTGGTTTTACCAACAGATGAAAATGAGGATCGTGATAACAATCAGGTATCGTTATTCAGTCTTACAAATCAAATTAAATATGATAAAAAAGGACACATTTATGGTATCTTCATTTCTGTAAATAGATTGTGAGACAATTTGGCAAAATTGTTAGACAAACATTGGAGAGAATATGGCGAAAGCGCGAGGAAAATAAAAAAAAACATAAGCTTAAAAATAAGATTATTAGGACAAAAGCTTAAAAAAGTAAAGAACATTTTGGAATGTAAGAACAAGATATACGAAGCGGTATGTAGGGCTTAAGAAAAATTCGACACAACGGACCAATGATATTTTTTGAATGCTTTTGTAAATATCAGAAATGTACGTTGTACTCTAATCGTACCTCCGCATTCAATACCATTGCCACTAAATCCAGGGTTACAGCCACATATGAATGAGCCAATATTGTTGTGGCAAGTTGCGTTTTTATGACATGGACTAGTTAGGCATTCATTTACATCAAGACAGACGGTTCCATTGCCAGTAAACCCTGTTTTGCAAGTGCAGTTATAGGACATGATACCATGTGCACAAGTTGCATTTATGTGGCAAGGATTGGAGAGACACTCGTTTATTTCCATGCAATATGTTCCATTTCCTGTGTAACCTTGAATACACCGACAGGAATATGAGCCAATTTTGTTGTCACAGGTTGCTTTCACGTGACAAGGATTAGTGGAACATTCATCCAAATCAACACAGTGAGTACCATTGCCCGTGTATCCTGATCTGCAAACACAAGCAAACGAGCCTTTGGTGTTGATGCAAGTTGAGTTTGCGTTACATTGGCTTGTGCTGCATTCGTTGATATCAGAGCAGACGGTGCCGTTGCCAGAAAATCCTTTATTGCAATTACAAATGTAGGATCCGATATTGTTTGTGCATGTAGCATCAGTGTGACAATTGTGTGCTCCACTGAGACATTCGTTTACATCTGCAATAAAGTATTAAATGATAAGAGTAACCAATCTGATTGGAGTGTTTTCAGAATTGGCCCTGACAACAAGAGATCATTCAAATGGGTTGTTGATACGTGCTTACCGTGATTTAAATGAAAATGCACCTAAACTGACAATTAACTGGCATTGATTGGTACAAACATGCGTTGTATACATACATTTTTAGCTGAAATTGCGAATAATTAATTGCTTTACAGAAACTTTGTTTTAAAATTTAAAACAATGAGAGCACAATTTAGTTTTCATCTTAAATACGTAGTAAATGATATTTTAATGGGAAAAATGAGCTTATTTAGGATAGTACCTGTGCAAATTGTTCCATTTCCAGTATAACCTTTATTGCACTGGCAAAAGTGGACCCAGTTTTTGCTCAAGCAAGTTGCATTTGCATGACAGCCAAGACTGTTGCATATTTGCGCGTCTGAAAAATTTAAAAAAACGTTGAAAAATGCACTGCATGGAATGTTATAAACAAAATATCTGATACAAAAATTCGATTCAGAAAACTTGGCCTTCTACACTGAAAAATTGAATACCAAAAAGAAATATGCATACATGCATGGTTTTACAATAAATAAGTCATCCAAATATGTTTCTTCATTTTCATTTAAATTGTGAAAGTAATTACATATGAATAAAGAATTTGATCCCCCCTATCTCAATACTTCGTTGTAGGGAGAAATAGTGCGCTAAAATTCTTGAATCTACAAAGCCTTTTTTAAGTGAAATTAGAAAACAAATACTCACTCGCGCAGTTACTTATTCCATCGCCAACAAAGCCCTCATTGCAACTGCATCTGTATGACCCAACAGTGTTGTTACATGTTGCATTGACATTGCAAGGCGCTCTTTGAAGACACTCGTTGATATCTTAAAAGTGAAGAATAAAGAGCTTAAAAAAGAAAAGCTCATCTAGAAAACTGTGTTATGTGCGATTAAAACTGATAACGAGATGACCTACCAAGTTTAAATCGATATTCTTCAAAACGAGAATAAAACCTTTTCAAGCAAACAAGAGCTGGTATGTGTTTCAAAATGTTAAACTAAACTTCTCTACCTTCTCCTTACTCATTCTCGCTTTAAAGATTTCCCTCCATATTATGCATTTACCAATTTTGACAAGTATTGACCTTCCGTATTGTAAACTTGATTTTATCATTTTATGCTTAATTATTAAGCTATCTATCAAGACGGTTCTACCTCAGGTTAGTTAACAATGAGCATGTAATATTTTCCATTCATAAAATTTTCTCACCTGAACAGTTAACCCCATTTCCAGAGAAACCATTGGTACATGAACATTCAAAAGCACCGACTGTATTCCTACATTGTGCATAAGCATGGCAATTGTGTGCACCAGCGGTACATTCATCCAAATCAAGGCAGGTCGTTCCATTTCCAGTAAATCCTTTGGTGCAAGAACAGTTATATCCACCTCCAGTATTTGTGCAGTTGGCATTCCTGTCACAGTTGTGTGTGCCATCAGTGCACTCATCCGTGTCGATGCAATGCGTTGCATTTGTCGGCTGGTAGCCGGATCGGCATGAGCAATTGTACGATCCAAGGGTGTTGATGCATAACTGCTGGCATTCACTTGCATTGATTATGCATTCGTCGAAATCTAAGACAATATAAATGATTTAAGTATATATTGCGCTTCAATATTTTTGACTAACTCAGAGCACATCAAAACTGAGGCTTAATGACTGAATCGTACGCATGAAAAGTAAAAACATAAGTGATATTATTCTAAAATGTGCAGGTAGAAAATGAAATAACCGCAAATATTATTATTAATAATCGAAATAATTAAATTGAAATACTACGTGCTCTCTTTTCCAAGAACTGAATTCTAACTTGTTATTCCTTTTCCTAGAGTTTTTCTCTGGCTCAAGTACAACTAAGCTTTAGCTCTAAAAAGAAGCTCTTGTTATAATGAAACGCATAAATTATTATTTTGATAAATGTGATCTAAGCCTTTGTTTCTGTCGTATTGAAATTAAAAATGCACTTGTTAAAAAATTTCACACATGTTTGCAAGAAAAAAAAGCGTAAAAAAAATAAAGTAAGGGGCAAAGAGTGATGATCCTTCTTTAGGCTTATGAGTGTTTCGATGTAGTAAGAATAGAGGACATGAGGCTCAAAATCAATTACCATAGCACTTTCGGCCGTCCCCGATGTAGCCAGTAGGACAAGGCCCGCAATCTGCAGCTGATGCCGTGTAATTATTTGTGCAATTGACGTCCTCAAAACACGGATTGACGTCACAGAAGCTGACCAATGTTTGACAAAATGCTCCTTCATAGTTGTGCGGACATGCACATGCTGCATAAGTGACAAAGTTGTTTGTTGATTGAAAATCCAAATTATTTTGGGAAGTGTTGCAACTTCCTCCATTCTGGCAGTAGCACAAAACCACACTGGGTGATACAGTTGCAGTGTTGTTGTTGCTGTCAGTGACAAAAAGATTTAATTTGAATTCAGTTGTGTTAACATGCCAATTGAAGACACCCGTGTTCTTGTCCATTGAGATTGTTGTACCGTTTGCTTCATGCAAATATGTCAAATTACCAGTTGCATTGGTAGCAACTTCAACCTTGAATGTGTGATTTGATCCATAGTAGACAACTAATGTTTTTGGGCCAGTAATTGTCGGTGGATAGGTTTCTAAAAAAAATCCGCGTATTGTAAATAATTCAACATATGTTATAAGTATGTTATAAAATTAGGAGAAAGTAGTATTGGTTAACAAAGAACGAAATTTCACAACGGCACAATTAAATTAAAGATAAGAGGAGTCTTGGTGAGACTTTGGGTACATGCTTAAGTCAAGGATTCCATTTAATATGAGCCCATTGAGTTAGATGTCTGCAATATCTACTTTTTGTGTGCTAGAACACCAACTTTGTATGTGCTGCTTTAGAAGCTATTTGGTTGCAGTTACATATTTTGATCATTTAAATGAAATTCGTTAACAACAACCATATATTTGTCATGTGACATTCATTTCATAAAGGTTTTGCTTTGGCTATTGTGCAAAACTTGGTACATGCTAGATATCCCTTGTAGGCCATCGTATCTCAGTCTGTTTACATCGAAAAACTGAGCACTCGTAGATTGCACATGTTAGAATATTCATAGAGCGTATATAAAGATTAAAACAGTAAAACAGACATACATGCTTTACTATAACTGAACCAATTGGACTTAGTCATAAATCTAAAAAAAGAATAGCTTAGCGCTCCAAGAGTAAATTGTCTTGTTAATAACCAATCCAGTGTCTGCTGGCTCTTTTTCTCGTATAACTAGTATTATGGCTGCAAAAATCATAACAATAGCTGTCCTTATTTAGTGCTAAACCAAACAGATGCTACGATTTATTTTGGTGCTGCATTAAGTAAACTTAGCAAGCATTAGCATATCCAGAGAATCATTTAAAGAGCGCTTTTCCAAAAATGTCCTTGCAGGTAGACTTTGAAAGAGGTACATACCAAGAGTTTTCTTTTCAGTCTCAAACGCTTCTAGAGAAGACTGACTTTCAGTAGATGAAGTCCTATCTCCGGTTAAAGCAACGTCAAACAAGCAAGTGAATGATGAATTTCCACCACATATGTCAATAGCATTCTGCTTCACCACTGTGTTGTTTCCAAACAATTCATCGATTGAGTCGTAGAATCCAGGAATAAAACTGGAATCAAAGTCAGGATCTTCCAGAATGAACAGAGAGCCATTTGAAGTGACATTCCCTTGCAAGAAAAAACAGGTAACATTAAATATAATTGAAAGTTCTCTTCAGACATTGGAAAAGAGTAATTTTTGCTCTGTAATTTTTATTGAAGGAAGGTGCAAGTGTATCTAATGCGTCTTTAATTATGATTCTTGAAGATTGATTGATTAAAATGGTAGCCTGTGAAGAATATTTTGTCCAGTGCAGCCGTTACTATCAACATCAACTAATCATAAAGCGAGTTTATTGACAAATTCTAAGCATAAACGCCTGCTAAATAGGGTCACTGGTGGAAATTAGTAGAAGTTATGGCAAGTAAAGGGCAGGGCAAGAATAAAGAAGGAAGTCATTTGTAATATGGAATATCATTTGTAGAATAGATAGTACGTTGAACTGAAAGGAAGAAACACAACGAAACTGACTTTTCCTGTTCTCTTTTCCTGCTTCTGACTCAGTATGGGGATCTAGATACCAGGAGGTACTCGCACATTGTGTCAACAATAGAAACGAATTACAGCAAGTACAGTAGATTACAGATGTAACTGAAAAACCCTATTGTTTCTGCAAATGAGCAGACTCATAAGAAGAATGCAAGAAGTCATTTATATAAATTCTTTAGTCCGTGGATTAGGCAATTCTGAATTCGATTATGTGCGATTTATTATCAATGGAAGAAGATGGAAACCACAACTTAAGTTTGAAATCAATATATACAACGAAGCTCTTATACGGTAAATACCATATACACGATAATCAACTTACATTTACTACCAAACTCATAATAGATTTCACTTTGTGTTGAGTTGATCGGTATCGTTGTGCCATCAGGTCGGGTGAAGTCGTCATTGACATTGTTGTTATTTACCCCAAGGAGGCCGCGTGTCTTGTTAACAAAGGTTGATGATGTAACAATTTGGATTGTTAGAAGTCTCTTGAATATGTCTATGGTCGCTCCCACTCCAGATTCGAAATCCACGCTAAATTTGGTTACATTTCCAACCGTGAAAAGATGTAGTTCTGTCTGGTTGATTGTTTTGAGAGTGTGGAAGAACGATGTGTTATACTCTTTCCCCTCCACAAATACTCGTGTTCTAGATGCTGCAAAAAGACCAGCGTTGTAAACAAAGACTCACCAGTCTAAATATTACCTTGAAGTTAACAGGATTTTTATAGTATAAGCTTAATGTAATTAAAAGTTCTAGTGGTATTACAAAGGGTTCCTTTTAAAAATGGGTGTAATCTCTTACTAACAAGCAGCTACAAACGTAGATATCATCACACTACGATTGTGTTGTGAAGATATTTGAAATTAGTTTTAGATTGTTCTGTTGTTTGGAATGTTAGAAATGAATAAAATCCAACAGCCTTTTTGCTGTAAGATGTTAGTATTAACACATGCAATTGGTTTTTTTTCTTGTTATAAGTGCCCATGTCTACGTTGCTCTTACCTGACCTGCTGCCACAAACAGACCAAATAAAAAGTTCCAAATTTTTTTGAAAATTCAATTCTCGTCAAAATATACAGTTTTTTGTGGACAATGTTTGATTGAAATTCAACAACTAATCAAATTGATGGATAAAGACAAGATTGTTTTTCTCAGCTGTTCAAATCATAAAGTTGAAGGTTTTTTGTTTTGTGTATGTTTTTAGACAGTAAGTAGACACTAAAATCAATGCTCAATAATCGACGACACTTTACATTCAACAAAACTGCAGTTATGCTGCAATAAAGAAAGGCTTTAGACCTTTAACGTTTCAAACCCACCATTTATGCATAAAATTTGTACCACGAAGAAAGAAGGGAGCCGTATTACAAAAAACATGGATTTAATACTACTTCAGATAGATGAAGCTCGTTTTCCCGCGATTAAAGATTTTTGCCAATTAAAAGAAATTTAGGAAAAAATTGTAGAAGTGTCATCGCTCAATTTCAATTGTACTTGGGATCTGTGCAAACAATACAGATGATGTACGAATGATTTATATTGTGCCATGCAAACTTAAAGATCCTTTGAACCTTTATGATATTTCAGAACCTTAAATAAATGAATAAAACAGAAATGAAAGATTAGTCACATACTTGTTACATTTAGATAGATTTCAACCAAAGGGCCTTGGTCTGTTTTCATTGCAAAGCCGGAAAGCACGGTAGCATTTGGTACCTCAACAGAGGAACTTCCATTAACAAAAGCTCTACTCATACGACTGTGTACTGTGAATTCAGTGCTGTTGTCCAAACTGAAAAAATTGTAATCACCAATTCCGTTAAATGTATACGTGTGTCCATCTAGTGTTCTTATGTGGGGGTCTCCACCACTCCAACCTTTGAATAAAAAAAATAAAGCTCTGTTATGAATCCATTGATGCACTTGCAACTATCTTGAAAAAATATACAATTTCCTCCGATTCGTCTCCGCGAATGCGATTCATCGAATAACAACAAGTCTCTATAAACAACGTCGTGAATTGGAAACAGCAAACGAAGAATATATAAAAGTTGATAATAGGCTAATATCTAAAAAAACAAATACAAGCAGAATACAACCTCCGGTTGTTCTCAATTCTCAATTCTCTAATCTGCGTCAAACATTCGACCTCCCACCATCACCAACGCTCGACTTCCTTCGTCTCTATTTAATTATACCTATTTAGTCTCACGTCACACAAACTGTCTTTTTTGACAACAAGCTCAAACTCATGACTTGAACGTGAGTTAGCTAGAGGGCTGCACTAAAATCATCTAAAAAATCGTCCCTGTTATCTTTGGAAATTGGTGTTTATCGATAATCGTATTGATGCTTGGATATGGATTTGCTTTTCATCAAGGTATAGCTAGTAAATCTCCAGTTAATACCGAACAATATAATTATATCAACTAGTAGATGTGGGATATGCAAAACAAGAAAGCATCAACTGAATGATTAAATGCTTACAGTTCGAAACTTTATAAAGAAAAAATATTCATATTTTTTTCCAAACAAGTTCATTTCAAATCCAATCATTTTGTGTAGCTCACAAAATAGGCTTTTGTTCCCTTATAAAATAGAAACAGTATTGTGTAGAATGAAATCAACAATAAGAAATCTGGTAGCAATCTTCTACGCCATACTTCTCGATGGAGGCCTGTATCTTGAACAATTAGGGATTGGTCTTTTTGATTCAAATAGCCAACACAATGGAGAATGTCTACAGCACGAACTGAAAGCAGCGCCGTCATCTGCTTCTGATGTAGTTCTAGATCTTTGTCTCAAATACCAGCTCCAAAGTATATTTTCCCAGCTAAACTTTTGCGTCAAAAATACTGTGCTTGTAGGCCAAATGTCTGGGTCGTAGTGATTGATCAGGGTTCCAAATCGCCATCGGTAACAACATTGTGTGTGAAAGGAGGTGGATGTAAAGAAAAAGAATCTCGTCGCTCTTGTTTTGAAGCAAGTTATTCCTGGTGTGTATCCTTCATATCTATACCGGATGTCTAACAAGATCTGTGACAGAGTGCAAGGACAGTCATTCTCGGGCGCACTCCTCACATCATTTATTTGTTGGATTGAAGGCTGAGCTGCGTGCCAGGCATAACACTTTGCGTCTTCGTTTTGCACCTTGTCACTAAGCTTCCACAGCCAGAGCCCTTTACTTCCAGTGTTCCCTACAACCGCATCATATCGGTAAGCCTTGGGCGAATTCAGCTGATTGAGCCTGGTTTCAGAAAATATGTGTCCAAAGTTGTATCCAACTCGTGCAGGCAACCAACCCTGCTGCCACAGCATCCCCTGGTCTTCGTAGATGTAGCTTACATAAGTCGATTCTCCATCGGTTGCCAAGTTCACTTGAAAGCTTACAAACTGTGTAACAAATTGAATATGGAGTAAGAAAGGGCAAAAAGATACCGCATCGAATTTCCGAGAGAATTGTCAATAGGTTTTCAATAGAAACTGAAAAAAAACCAGCAAGTTTAAATGCAATATCATATTCAGAGGTAAAACAGTTTAATGATGGGTTACCGAAAAAACATGTTCATGACCGGTACCTGGTTCGTTCCGAGGTAATTCCTAAAAAGATATGGTGTGCCTTTAATCCACGTTGCTACAAGAATCAATGAGGGACTGAAGCTTCCAACTCCTCCATACTTCAAAATATAATTCTTGGTTTCATTGAAAAGCTGCACAGACGTTTGATCTGTCATCTGCTTAGAATGATATGAGTAGGCAATGTATCCTTGCATGCCTCTGAAATCCACATCGGCCCAAAAAGGAGCCAGGAAATTCTTTTCCCATCGGAATCTATTACTAGATGGATAACATCTTGGAAGCCCTCCAAAGCAAATTTTTCCATTGGCACAGACCTTGAGTAGATATAAAAGTTCAAATCAAACTCGGTTTCTTTTAAGATTCTGAAATAAAAAACAAAACGGATTCTTCCAAATGTCTTTCACTATCCACCATATGTGTAGATTGTAACATCGTTTTGAAGATGGCACGAATTAGCGGAAACATAACATATTGTCTTACGTACTTCTCGTCCGATACTCTTCAGAGTATAGAAAGAGTCCGTTTTAAATCTTGGAATACTCAGCTAAAGCAAATCCCTGCTTCAAAGAAATGGGCGCAAACAAAACTGCAGCCTGTCAGCATAGAAAATATTTTCTACTTTGTGAGAAGCTAGGCGGCCTGATTTCTTTCAAATTTCTTAAAAATAGGGCAAATTGAAAAAAATATGTACAGTATATCAAAGCAAAGTTCACATATATACAGTAGTTCATACTGAATTCATACACATTAATTTCTAGGGTTAACCCTGTTTACTATGCAGCATGATCCTCGAATTCAAAAATGATTTTTGACAAGAAAGCATTATGCTAAAGAAAGTTTCTAAATGGACATAAAAATGCCAGCCTGCTTATTTAAATATTATATCTTGCATATAAGAAACTACACAGCCTGATGTGACTATTTATGTTCCCTTTGAACGGGACTTGCTGTAGGTGAAGGGCTAGTTGTTTTTGATTGGCAAACAAAAGAACCAATCAAACACGCCTTTCTTCCCCTCACGTGCTCTCGATCCACACTCGGATATTACTTATATGCTTTCCTTCGGTCATTATCCGACCTTGATTAAGAATGTCGGACGAAAAAGAACAACAGTCTGCTATCCTTCCGCTATTTAGTGCCATCTTTTTAGATGTAGTTCCTCCTTGTAATGTGGGTAATCTAAATTTATTTTGTATTCTTAATATAGAAAAGATATCAATCAATTTTTGGTTTTTGGCCATGAGAAAGCAAAAGAATTGCGGTGCATATATTATCCTAAAAGATTGGTTAGCACCTTGAACAAAGGATTGTATCGAAAAGCACAACTACCGAATACTATTACTTCCAGTATTTCATTAACCGGTTTGGATCTGAATGAGAGATTTTACCATCACGAATTTGGAAGAAAGAAAGTACAATGTATGCAAGTTTGATTAAAAACTTTGATCAAATGATGGAAAAACCGTTCAATGTTGCTGCAGATCCTTTTCATATTACCTATTATAAAACGCAATAAATAAACAAATGGACCGGTCATAAATTCTTCCTAGCGAGGGGGCAGGTTACATTTGCGAATAAATGGTCAGACCCTTTTTTAAAATGAAATTTTGACTCAAGTTTTGAACAATCTACATCTTATGATTTTTTAAGATAGTTGGTGATGCTTTAAATCAATAAAATTTGTCGATGAGCTAAAATGTTTAGGAATGACAAGTTTTTTTACATATGGAAAGTACATTAATCTTTTCTAAAAGAGGTGTTCACCCATCTCCGGTCAAGTTTTATATCCCAGTCCTCTAAAGACCAAATGTCAAATATCTCACGTGGATTCTCTTGTAAATGCTTCTGCCCATCGGTATACCATATGGAATATAGAGTGATCTGTATCCATCATCAGTATTTGTAAAAAGAGGTGACTTGGCGTAGGAAAAGAACCGAGACTTCAAGATTGCTGCAAAAAAACATCTTTAATACATCCATTTACCCGAAAAAATCAAAAACAAAATAAACAGGGGTTTTACTTCTATTAAATAACAATTTGGGCTCTTACAAAAATGATGTAAGTTTTTATAGCAAAGTAGAAATTGGCTACTTGTTTGTATTGTGGGGCTGAGCCCCCATGCGCTCTCAGAGAACTTACCCTTGCCTCAAGCCCGTAGCCAGGCCTTTGGCGTAGGGGTGGCAAACGCAGGCGAAGTTTAAAATAAAGTTTTGTGTAGGGAGGGGAAGGGGTGCGGAGAGATAGTGGAAACAAACAAGCAAAAAGTTGTAAATGTCTTCAAAAATTAAACAACTTTCTTCCTCTTAATTCAAATGTTATGTATTCCATCAATATTTCATTTTTTAAAACGTTAGACATGCAAGATTTTTCTCCCTCTCTGTCCGCAAAAACAATTCGCTGAGAGGAATCTATCCTTGTTTATACAGAAAACAAGCATTTTTCAAAATCTCTATCTGTTGGTGTGAAGCCAGCAGTAACTGAAATTTTTAGAAATTTATGAAATGCGAGTTACGTCTCCAAAATGAACGTAGAATTTGATATTGGTTCAAAAACGATTAACCTTAAAACGACCGTAAAAAAGAAATACCTGTACATGATGTACCAACTCCGGTATAACCACTATTGCAAGCACAGGTGAACGAGCCTGCAATATTTGTGCATGCAGCATTTGAATCACAGTTATGCGTCCCTAATGTACACTCGTTTATATCTAGAAACAACAAAGAGCACGTATCATCAATTATAATGCAACAATCCTAAAAATGGCACCGTAGATCATACAAAAAACATCAGCTCATTTTAATAAAAAAAGGTTTCTTAAATCTGCGTAGAATTTGAAATTCGCTTAAAACGATTACTCTTAGAACAAACTGTTAGAATGACATACCTATGCATGATGTCCCAGGTCCGGTATAACCAACATTGCAAGAGCAGAAGAAATGAGCCTGCAGTATTTGTGCATGCAGCATTTGAATCACAGTTATGCGTCCCTAATGTACATTCGTCTATATTCTAGAAGCAACAAAGAGGCATCTATCATAAATTAAAATGCAAATATCCTAAGCAATGCACAAGTAGATTACACACAAATTTATCTGCTCAGTTTTATTAAAAACGTCTCTAAAATCTACGTAAAATTTGAAATTCGTTTAAGACCAATTTAACATTAAAACAGCACATACCTGTACAGTTGTCCCAGGTCCGGTATACCAAACATTGCAACACAGGTGAATGATGCCTTTAGTATTTGTGCATGCAGCATTTGAATCACAGTTATGCGTTCCTAATGCACATTCGTCTATATCTAGAAGCAACAAAAGAGGCATCTCATCATAAATTAAAATGCAATATATAAGGAGGGCACATAGAATTACACACAATTTATCTGTTCAGTTTTTATTAAAACGTCTCCAAAATCTACGTAGATTTTAAATTCGTTTAAGAACAATAAACCTTAAAACAGCACTTACCTGTACATGATGTCCCAGGTCCAGTATAACCACTATTGCAAGCACAAATGAACGAGCCTGTGATATTTGTGCATGCAGCATTTGAATCACAATTATGCGTTCCTAATGTACACTCGTTTATATCTAGAAGCAACAAAGAGCACGTATCATCAATTTAAAGCAACAATCCTAAAAATGGCACCGGTAGATCATAACAAAACCATCAGCTCATTTTAATAAAAAAAAGGTTTCTTAAATCTGCGTAGAATTTCAAATTCCGCTTAAAACCGATTACTCTTAGAAACTGTTAGAATGACATACCTATGCATGATGTCCCAGGTCCGGTATAACCAACATTGCAAAGAGCAGAAGAATGAGCCTGCAGTATTTGTGATGCAGCATTTGAATCACAGTTATGCGTTCCTAATGTACATTCTCTATATCTAGAAGCAACAAAGAGGCATCTATCATAAATTAAATGCAAATATCTAAGGAAGGCAAAATAGATTACACACAAATTATCTGCTCAGTTTTATTAAAAACGTCCTAAAGTCTATCGTAGAATTTGAAATTAGTTTAAGACAATTAACCTTAAAACAGCACATACCTGTACATGATGTCCCAGGTCCGGTAATAACCACGATTGCAATGCACAAATGAACGAGTCTGTATTTATTGTGCATGCAGCATTTGAATCACAAGTTATGCGTCCCTATGTACACTCGTTTATATCTAGAAGCAACAAAGAGCACGTATCATCAATTATAATGTAACAATCCTAAAAATGGCACCGTAGATCATACAAAAACCATCAGCTCATTTTAATAAAAAAAGGTTTCTTAAATCTGCGTAGAATTTGAAATTCGCTTAAAACCGATTACTCTTAGAACAACTGTTAGAATGACATACCTATGCATGATGTCCCAGGTCCGGTATAACCAACATTGCAAGAGCAGAAGAATGAGCCTGCAGTATTTGTGCATGCAGCATTTGAATCACAGTTATGCGTCCCTAATGTACATTCGTCTATATCTAGAAGCAACAAAGAGGCATCTATCATAAATTAAAATGCAAATATCCTAAGCAATGCACAGTAGATTACACACAAATTATCTGCTCAGTTTTATTAAAAACGTCTCTAAAATCTACGTAAAATTTGAAATTCGTTTAAGACCAATTAACATTAAAACAGCACATACCTGTACATGTTGTCCCAGGTCCGGTATAACCAACATTGCAAGCACAGGTGAATGAGCCTTTAGTATTTGTGCATGCAGCATTTGAATCACAGTTATGCGTTCCTAATGCACATTCGTCTATATCTAGAAGCAACAAAGAGGCATCTATCATAAATTAAAATGCAAATATCATAAGGAGGGCACAATAGATTACACACAAATTATCTGTTCAGTTTTATTAAAAACGTCTCCAAAATCTACGTAGATTTTGAAATTCGTTTAAGAACAATAAACCTTAAAACAGCACTTACCTGTACATGATGTCCCAGGTCCAGTATAACCACTATTGCAAGCACAAATGAACGAGCCTGTGATATTTGTGCATGCAGCATTTGAATCACAATTATGCGTTCCTAATGTACACTCGTTTATATCTAGAAGCAACAAAGAGCACGTATCATCAATTATAATGCAACAATCCTAAAAATGGCACCGTAGATCATACAAAAACCATCAGCTCATTTTAATAAAAAGAGGTTTCTTAAATCTGCGTAGAATTTCAAATTCGCTTAAAACCGATTACTCTTAGAACAACTGTTAGAATGACATACCTATGCATGATGTCCCAGGTCCGGTATAACCAACATTGCAAGAGCAGAAGAATGAGCCTGCAGTATTTGTGCATGCAGCATTTGAATCACAGTTATGCGTCCCTAATGTACATTCGTCTATATCTAGAAGCAACAAAGAGGCATCTATCATAAATTAAAATGCAAATATCCTAAGCAATGCACAGTAGATTACACACAAATTATCTGTTCAGTTTTATTAAAAACGTCTCTAAAGTCTACGTAGAATTTGAAATTAGTTTAAGACCAATTAACCTTAAAACAGCACATACCTGTACATGATGTCCCAGGTCCGGTATAACCACTATTGCAAGCACAAATGAACGAGTCTGTATTATTTGTGCATGCAGCATTTGAATCACAGTTATGCGTCCCTAATGTACACTCGTTTATATCTAGAAGCAACAAAGAGCACGTATCATCAATTATAATGTAACAATCCTAAAAATGGCACCGTAGATCATACAAAAACCATCAGCTCATTTTAATAAAAAAAGGTTTCTTAAATCTGCGTAGAATTTGAAATTCGCTTAAAACCGATTACTCTTAGAACAACTGTTAGAATGACATACCTATGCATGATGTCCCAGGTCCGGTATAACCAACATTGCAAGAGCAGAAGAATGAGCCTGCAGTATTTGTGCATGCAGCATTTGAATCACAGTTATGCGTTCCTAATGTACATTCGTCTATATCTAGAAGCAACAAAGAGGCATCTATCATAAATTAAAATGCAAATATCATAAGGAAGGCAAAATAGATTACACACAAATTATCTGCTCAGTTTTATTAAAAACGTCTCTAAAGTCTACGTAGAATTTGAAATTAGTTTAAGACCAATTAACCTTAAAACAGCACATACCTGTACATGATGTCCCAGGTCCGGTATAACCACTATTGCAAGCACAAATGAACGAGTCTGTATTATTTGTGCATGCAGCATTTGAATCACAGTTATGCGTCCCTAATGTACACTCGTTTATATCTAGAAGCAACAAAGAGCACGTATCATCAATTATAATGTAACAATCCTAAAAATGGCACCGTAGATCATACAAAAACCATCAGCTCATTTTAATAAAAAAAGGTTTCTTAAATCTGCGTAGAATTTGAAATTCGCTTAAAACCGATTACTCTTAGAACAACTGTTAGAATGACATACCTGTACATGTTGTCCCAGGTCCGGTATAACCACTATTGCAAGCACAAATGAACGAGTCTGTATTATTTGTGCATGCAGCATTTGAATCACAGTTATGCGTCCCTAATGTACACTCGTTTATATCTATAGATTATGCAATCAAAGAAGTTTCTATCTAAGTATGCATCAACTTAATATATTTCATTGCAGTACACACCTTTCTCCTAATAATATGTACTTCCT